AATTTATAAGCTCATGTTTAGAAAATGATATGCTATAGATTTGTTATGAGATAATGACATTTTTGTTGCATAAAAATGGACCGAGCATTTAGTGAATGTAAGCCCATTGTTTTTGCGATTTTTGATTTGACATGATTTTAGTGTAGCTTTCGGATCATCGCTACTGTATTTTACTATTTAGTATTGGTTTCGGCTTCCATGAATAGATATCCATTGTTTCTGCGATTTTTGGTTTGATATGGTTTTGATGTATCTTTTGGATCCTAGTTGCTATATTACGCTATTTAATGTTGGTTTCAATTTCTATGAAACTAGGTCCATCATTTCTGTCGACTTCTAGTTTGGTATGGTTTTGATGTAGTTTTTGGATCATCGTTGCTATATTTTGCAATTTAGCTATGGTTTCGACTTACATGAATCTATGTCAATTGTTTCTGTCGACTTTCGAAACTCGTTTATCCTCTGCTTTCGCTTTTTGCTTCTATTGCTTCAGTCATTGCCCTCATTCTATTTCAACTATATGTTCATGGAAGAGGTGAATATGTTTACAATCTTAGGGTTCCAAACCAGCTGTTGATATTTTCACATAGCCGCTATCCTTAGGACGGGTCTCTCGAGTGAAACCATGTAGAGCAGGCTCATCACATATGGCCCAAACCGTCTTTCTGAGCTTAAGGCATCATCCTTCTCCTTTTTCATAAAACAGTATTCCATTTAAAACTACTAATATATTGTTTTTCATAGACTATGCAATTTTGGGGAATCCACTTTCTTGGGGCATGGAGTTGGCTTCCATCATGCCTGTCACTTTGGCTAATGGAGGGGTTAGTTGTAATATATGGGTCTAGTCAATCCATTTTTCTTTAAGTCCGAGCCCATCCCACCATTTCGCTTCTTCTTCAACAGATGAAGAAATTCTCGACGGAAATAACTAGAGAAAGAACAGAATGGAGAGAGGGAGATAGCGTCCCCGAGAAGGAAAGAGGAAACGGGAAAAACCCTTAACACGTTCAAAATTTGAGGCTGAATCCTTACTATTATGTAACGCCAGGTAAGTTTTCGAACCTATTATTTGTCTAATCGAATAATCGTCAAAGTTAAGGCTTGAAATTCAAAGTTTTATCAATTCTGTGTTACTGCGTGCAATTGGGAGGGGGGGGGGGGGGGAAGGGGTTTGAGCTATATATATATATATAGGAATGAAAATTTAGGATGTTGTGAAACTAAAACTTTTAACGGATCTCAATTTGAGCTTATGGTTTGCCCGGAGCGAATTTTTGAAGTTTGCCGCGCGTGCTAGATTGATTGCGATTAGTGCTGATTTTTCTTCGATTTTTTGCTAGTTTTTGGGTCGGCCAAGTTAACGATTTTGTATTACGTTTAAAGAGCTTTCTTTGGACTCTAAGTTTGCTTGAATCGGAGTTCGTAAGAGAAAATTACGGCTTGAGCAAGTTTGTCGCGAGAGCTGCATATAGCGGCCAGCAATGGTATCCGCTAGGGGCGAGCTTTGCCGTTGGCGCATAGATAAATAAGTGTAGTTTTGTTGAGTTGTTTGTTAGAATATCGATTTACTCGATTTTTTATGCCGTTTTTCGATTAAATGTTAGGTATTCGAGTGCATCGGTTTGAGTAACCACTATAGGTTGGCTTTTCGGCTTTATTGGTTAGTGGTATTATTTTTTCTTTGAATTTGTAAGTTCATGTTTAGAAAATGATATGTTATAGATATGTTATGAGATAATGACATTTTCGTTACATAAAAATGAATCGAGCATTTACTGCCGTTTTGTCTGTTTGGAATGAAAGGTTATCTTTTTGTTTCGGTTTGAGCTTATTGAATGTAAATGGGTTTGTGAAACCTTTTGGGAAAGTCTCATGAGAAGTTCTTGACTTTGAATATGATTTTTGAATGGTTATATACTAGTTTATGAAATGAATTTTGAACTGGTTTAAGAAATATATTGCGATATATGAAATGATTTATGGATTTAGCTTTGTGGATTGTGGAGAATATTATTGTGGGTAGGTATATGCTCAGTGTCTCTGTGAACCCAATGATGGGTTGTGGGTATGCGTATACTAGTCTAGGATATCCCTGTGAACTAAGCCACCAGCTTATAGTGGGTAGAGACCTTGCCAAGAGAGAAATCTTAGTCATCTTGTCACAAGGCATTATCCGTGATCATGGTTAGATTTATGAGCACAAGATTGGCTAATAGAATAGATCATTGGTGTGTGTTTTCGATGAGATTGGCCAATGGAATAGACCATTGGCGTGTATTTTCAATGAGATTGACCAATGGGCTAAACCATTGATTTTTGCTTTGATATTATTATTTGAAATGAATATTTCTATTATGAAAATGTTATATTAAAGTGGTATATAACGTATTTTGACCTTGAAATCTGTTATATGCTAGAGTTGAGTTAAATGAGCTTTGATTTGGTCTCATAACTGTGTGCATAGTGGATGATCAATCTATATAGAAGAAATGTATTATTCACTGAGCTGTGGTAGCTCATTACTCTCATCTTATTTGTTTTTTGGGTTCTTTAGCGAGCCGCAGCCGCATGTAAGGCGTGAGAGTTTTGATATCAAGGAGGTCTTTTTGTTAGTAGGGACTTTTTCTGCGGAGCTTCTGAGTCAACTTGTTGATGGATATGTATTTAAACTTTTGATGATTTGTAGTGAACTCTGATATTGGTTACCTTTTTATCATATATATATGTAGATGTATATATTTTGATATCAGGTTTGAGATTTGATGGATATGTATTAGACTTTTGATGATTTGTAGTGAACTCTGATATTGGTAACCTTTCTATTATATATATGTAGAGGTATATATTTTGATATCAAGTTTGAGTTTTGGTTATGTTTAGACTGCGTCCTTTAGTGAAAGGATGGCCGTGTCATGCCCTTGTTCTTGTTGAGTTAAGGGTGTGACATTAGTTGACTGCTCACTTGCTTTGCACAAGTTCATATGCATATGCCACATCTATCGCAAGCGATATGAGATAATACTTCAATGTCGGATTACGAGCGGGAGTGGGCACATAGAATTTTGACAAAGCATATTTGTGAAATGGATAGAACTAGCTCTAATACTATATTAGAAAGATCAATCTAAAAGTTTAAGCTAATAGATGCATGGAGACCACATAATATAAAGAACATTTAGGACCCGTTATCAAGTAATGTGGGACAATACTTCGACACAATGACATTGTATCCGCAACCCTTCTCTAGGGTTGTAAAAGCCCGATTCGCCTTCACTCTATTTCCCGTTGGGGTGACTATAGTCTTCGGTACCGAAGTTGGGGTGGACATGAAAGAACATGCCGACAATCCCACGATCTCCTCTGCATTAATATATTGAGCTGCGCTGATCGAGAACATTTCCAAGATTACTAGCTCGATAATGGAAAAAAAAAAAAAAGAGGGTGACGTCTGGAGCCCTGCTATGGCAATTTAGTAGGGTAGCGTTAGAAGGGAGTTGCGGAATTTCAATAGCCACTTCATTGAATCGATGGAGGTAATCTTTAACGTACACTTCCAATTGCTGCTTGAATGCTAATAGTGTATTATGTATCTTCTAGAACCGCTGACAATTGGAGAAGTGCGTGATGAATGTAACAACTAGTTCATGGAGCAAGCTGATGGAACACAGTTTCAGACCGCTAAGTCGCCGGGAACGCTCATCATAAGATTGTGCTTGGTGTCTTGTGCAACATCCTAGCAGCCTGAAATGCCTCCGCATGTTCTAAATCGTCTCCTGGAACATCAAACTAGTGTTGGTTGTGCTACTTGGACCCTTTTGGAAGAGGAGCAACTATTATTTCGTTTGTAAACTTCGGGTCGTGATGATAGAGAATTGCTGCTAATAACTTGGGATCACCGAGTCTCTGGATCACATCCCCGAACTCATGTTCCTTTTATAGAAACCAACAATCCACGTCTTAGTCATCCACCTTATACATAAAGCTCAAAGCTTCTCGCCCGACACCATGCTTGCTTCCTAAACTCCTTGATTCGACTGTTGAATTACCTCCATGGGCAATGCCCGTCGAAACCTTACCCTATGGGCTCTGATGTTACGCGTCTAGGAGCATGTCAACCTTGTATACCACGGTAGAAGATTGATCCCTTGTGATACACCTAGCCTCCGATGCCGATGGTCATACACCGGAGGAGGTGTAGGGAATTGTTGGGGGCAGTAGTAGGGCCTTGGATATCGAGGCATGTTGGGATACGATAGAGGAGTTGGTGACGCATAAGGAGACGGCGCATGCGTGACTTGAGGGGGGGGGGGGGGGGGGGGAGGAGGGCGGGCGGTTGGGGGAAGCTTGAGTAGGAACTGGGGAGAGAAAAATGGCCTGCTCCCTACTTGTACGTTTGAATCACTATTTATAGGTTCGCCGAGTAATGCATAACATATGCTGGTCTTCAAATGAGAAGTGAATGGGATGATTTGACAAGTGACATGTTCATACCACCATTAGGAATCAATGCAAGTTTGGCCTTTCGAACGGTGGTTGCATTGTTTTCTCCTCAAATGAAGTGATTTTAAAGTGGTGTATTGTCAAAAATTATTATCAGGGTAACTTAGGCCCTAAAATTATATTTCGATGGGTCTTCTCATCAGGTCGTGTCACATAACCAGTCGGTATGTACAGAACACGTGTTCGGAGTCAACTGATCAATTAAAACCACATCTATCATCTATCAATATAGTCTATATCACGATATTACATTCTGTGTTTTTCTTATCAACGCTCCGCTAGAAAAAAAATGCTAATTGCAAGAAAAGAATTCTAATTAACTCAAGAGATTCGCATAATAAATAATCATATTCATGTTAAAAGATATGATTGAATATATCTATACCATTGGGAATTTTTTGAAATCGTTCTAACCAAGCAAAATATTGATTTATTACCTTGCGAGTCGAACAGATTAGAGAATTTACTTTGTATTTTTCAGAGCAATTAGCAAAGAATGAAAGAGAGAAGAAACTCAATGCATACAATACAATTCCTTCAACGTACAGATTCCGTCAGGCAATAATACAATGTGTGCGTGCTAGCATCAAGCACCTAATATGTTGAGTCCAAAAAACAAAGAAGACGACATAGTAATGAACCAATAGATGTAAAATTAACAAGCAGTTCCTAAATTAAGCTCTGTACCCATCACAACAAATCGCTGACATAAATGATACAAATTCGTACCTGCAATCTAGACCGGATCGGCCGGCATCGCGCTGAAAAATATTTCACGCAATATATATGGCAAAATATGATGACAAGAAAACGGCGACTGCCCAGTAATCCAAAACTCTCGAACGTTCCAAGAATCTGACTAGCTTGAGCAGCATCCACCTCTCTTGATAGCCGACACATCCTTACCGACATCGATCTTCTCTCCCTTAGACGGCACAGCCGAGCCGTTCGCTTGCTCACTTGTTTCCAAGGCCTTCTTGCTCACAATGTTGTAGATCTGAGTCAAGACTTCGGCGAAAGCATTCTCCACATTGGTCGCCTCGAGCGCGGAAGTTTCCATGAAGAAGAGGGCCTCTCTCTCTGCAAATGATTTCCCGTCCTCTGTTGAGACTGCCAGGAGGTGCCGGAGATCAGATTTGTTACCGACGAGCATGACCACAATGTTGGGGTCCGTGTGATCCCTCAACTCCCTCAACCATCTCTCCACATTTTCAAATGTGGAGTGACGAGTAACGTCGTACACAAGTAATGCGCCTACAGCTCCCCGGTAATAAGCGCTTGTGATGGCACGGTACCTGTGGAAATTTAGGGAAATGTAATATAGCGGAAGAGAAGGAAGTATTGGCAAAATGCAATCTAACAGTGGTATGAGGTCATCGCAAGATGTCTTTAAATTAACAACACTGAAAGTTCCAACAGTTACTATCACAACACAACTTTAAATTAACAATATGACAGTCCGAACAGTCCGAACAGTCATAATCACAAGTCACAACACAACTAAACTCATGAACTTTGGCTGGTAAACTCATGGACAAAGGGCAAACACCACCATAAGACCACAATCCCCACAGCTTTTGGTTTGAGCGCTCACAAAGCTTCTTGTCTTTTGTGTCCCTTCTACATTTACTTCTGGTAAAAACTCGACAAAGGAAAAAAAACAGAAAAACAGAAAAACAGAAGCAGAAGCAAAAGTTCAGGGGAAAAATCTCGCAGTACACCAACAATTATTGTTAAGCATATATCAATTGTCTCTTTTTCAACAAGGAGTAAATACCATCATTAGCTCAACTATATAATCTATCATGGATGTTAAATCTTGATAGAGAAAAAATTGAATTTTGATGTCATCAATATTTATTCTGGCTTGTGGAAATTGCTTGTATAGATGTTTCCTGAGTGACTAGTAAATCTACCAGCCATTAAACCTCTTCAAGGGATAATAAATGCTGAAGCAATTTTTTGCAATTGCAAACCCAACTTCTGAGGAACAAAAGGTGAAAGTGAAGTGCCATCGGTTTCAATGCCTGTGTGTGGCATCATAGTTCCTCATTATGATGAAAAAACTATGAAGGCAATCCATCTGATGAAAGATCACATTAAAGGGGTGCTATGAACTCACAACATATGGCTTATACTGAGAAGAATATGCAATATCGTAAACTGAGCCATTTGAAAAATGAGCCTATCGTACATCTTCTTTTGGCAAGATAGCCCCCATACTTTCAGACTCAGCAAGACTAAGAGAGTACTGCATAAATATTCGTCTGTATTCTGTTAAAATCAACATTTACAATACTGTCATCACTTATTTTGGCATTAAACTTTTTACAGAATGGTCAACTAAAGTTTTCAATTGTAAAAAGAAAAGTATATTTTGGTCACTCTTTTACATTTAGCACTTGCCATTTTAGGATTTTGACCTTATCTATATCACAAAATACTCGTAGAGTATTGCATATATTGTGTCAAATTATGGAGTCACAATCTTGTAATTATTAATCTTGAGAGAAAATGGACAAAAGCAAAGCAGAGAAACCTCATTTATCAATTCTGAAAGTACAAGGGGGGTGGGGCTATCCCACCAAAATGCATCGAAAAGGGATTTCTTAAAAAATGACATGATGTATAGGGGGGTCAAGAAAGTCAAGACATGATTTAGTCATAGGACTACAAAGCTAAGTTGGGGAGAGAGAGAGAGAGAGAGAGAGAATCAATTCTGAAAGTACAAGGGGGGTGGGGCTATCCCACCAAAATGCATCGAAAAGGGATTTCTTAAAAAATGACATGATGTATAGGGGGGTCAAGAAAGTCAAGACATGATTTAGTCATAGGACTACAAAGCTAAGTTGGAGAGAGAGAGAGAGAGAGAGAGAGAGAGAGAGAGAGAGAGAGAGAGAGAGAGAGAGAGAGAGTTCTACACTCAACAAGAATTTGTTCGCAAACAAGGTCAATTTCGCACGTACAGCAACACAATTTGCTAGAACTTGCAAAATGTACAATGTCATCATGAAATTCTCGAATTTCCTTAAGTCCCTGCAGGCTCTAACTCATGGAAGGATCGATCTAACATGGCTGAGGGAAATATACCTGCTTCTTTAGTTAGTAGTGTCTTGCACCAATGCATATCCTCATAAGTTTACAAACTTTGCTTTGAACTTATTATGTGTCAATATCCTGCTTTCTAAATTTCCTCAAAATTTTCAACCACCCAAGGGCATGCTTAATCTATCTGAACCCTATAGGTGGGAGTCAGAGAGATATTTTCTTGAGTATCTTATAAAGCAGATGATTGGAGTCTTCCTTGACTAATCCAGATTTCTTGTAAAGCAATCTAACCAAACTAAAGATGAAGTACAGCAGTTCATGGATATTTACTATAATCTGGCGAACGACAAAGTTCTATACCATACTTTGATGACTACAACAGGAACCGCACCTTAAAGATAAGCGATCTCTACGATATGGATGAAAAGTAAGATGTATTCACATGTTCTCAATGTGGGTATAAACTCATCCTCAAACAACGCAACCTACCCCAGTTGCCTGTTCCACTAGATCTGTTATGTACTAAAACCATCCATAATACTGATACCACAGTACGTAATCAATTTCACTGTTGAAGAGCCAAAATAAGGGTGACTACAATCAAGAGACCATTTGATGTTTATGCAAGCAAAGGGAAATTTCGGCCACAACATGATCCAATGGGTCCAATAAGAAGAAGGCATTGAAGATGGAGTTTTTATAAGTTGAAGAATAAAGGTTCCTCCAGCTGAATCAAAGGTTGAAAGGATGTTTCCTAATTTAAGTTGTTTCCTAATTTGATATTTCCTAGTTTGATATTCCCTAGTTTAAAGTTTCCTAGTTTGATGTTTCCTAGTTAAGTGTCCTAGTCCCTCTATAAATAGGAGGTGCTTCTCAATTGCAAGTGGCAGAGTTGTAAGTTAATAATTCTCTCAATTGAGTGATTCTTTCGGTTCTTTATCCATTTCGTTGGTGGTGAGCCTTCAAGTTCTTTATCCTTGACTGATGGAGTAATCCTTTATGCCTTGGGTGGTGAACTTTCTTTATCCTTGGCTGGTGGAATGATCCTTTGTGCCTTGGTGGTGAACTCTTCTATCCCAAAGTTCTTTTCTCGCAAACAAATCAAACACTTTCGTTCTGTTAAACACATTCAGCAAGCTCACCCAATCTCATCACGCATCAGTTATTCCATGGGACAAACATGGTGAAGAAAAGAACATCCACGCACTATCAAGTCCAAAGCTTCGTTCTTCTGCATCGTTTCCAAAACGATGACAAACATTATCTCAAAATCCTGAAAGACTCATAAAGCCTATTGGCTCCATAAACAGTAAGTCTCTGCAAGACAAAGCACCACACTAGATGTTCTTCTTCCACAAAGATCCCAATCATTCACACCCATTACGCAGTCAAGTTCAAAATGCCTAACAATCTAAAAATAAAGAGAAATGGAGGCAACAGAGCAAGATGCTAGCTTATTCGTGCATCTTACTCATGTTCGCCAGTCGGGGGGAATGGAAAGAGCCATATATGTCAGCGGATGAATTATGAAGATATAAATCGCCATCACCCATACAAACCAATCTTGTCTCGCCCAGGAAAGGAAAAAAAAATCCCAAGCGACACAAAGAGAAAACAAGGGCCATTACCACACAGCAACTGAGCTTAATTCCACAGCAGTCCCCTGTAATTTGAACTACATGGGGAGATTACCCTGCCTAATGACTTCAGATCTACCAAAACCAGCACAACTAAAAAACAACCAAACCTGAAACTTGTCCAATTTGAAACATACTTCCTAACAAAAGCAGATCAACCATTCCCAAAGAAAATCCCTAACTAAAACAAGATCCAACTGCATAGTATTTACCTCCAACCATCATAATCATTTAGCAACACAAGACCCAGATCACCCAGAAGCACAATCACAGAGCAATGATGACAAAACTGCGGGAGGACAGCAAAGCTAATATGAAAGACGACAAGACCCAGAAAGGCTTTTCTCACCTTTCTTGACCGGCGGTGTCCCAAATCTGGGCCTTGATGACCTTGCCATCGACGTTCAAGCTCCGGGTGGCGAACTCGACACCAATGGTGGACTTCGACTCGAGGCTGAACTCGTTCCTGGTGAATCTGGAGAGCAGGTTGGACTTGCCCACGCCAGAGTCGCCAATCAGAACAACCTTGAAGAGGTAGTCGTAGTCATCCTCTGCTCTGTACCCTGCCATCTTGCTCAAACCCAAGAGAGAGAGAGAGAGAGAGAGAGAGAAGAGAGACAGAAGGGCGTTTTCGAGAGCAACACGGCAAGTTGCACGACGTACTCTGTTCTTTCCCCGTTAAGGAACAAGAGCCTTTGGTCTAATCAAAGCGTAAGCGTGTGTACTTTTCTCCAGTTTTGACGTTTTATTGTCTGGGCAAAGAAAAAGTGAAGACCCCATTGTGTTTGTGCTTGTGCTTGGCTGGGATCCAAACATGAACATGTGAAAATCCTAGTTTTGATCCTTTAGTTTGCGAATTTTTCTCAATCAAGCAGTCGAACTTTTAATTAATCAAATTGAGCCCGGAGAATTGGCGTAATTTTTCCAATTAAGTCCCCTTCGGCATTAGTTTGAATTGACGCATCGATTAAAGCTTGAAAGAGTCTTAAGTGAGAAGATTCTTGTGCTGTTGTGGTTACCGGTTAAATGCATGAGGCTAAAAATCTCGAAAATGAAGATCGCGACCGGATTTTGGACTGTGAGATTTTTCATTACGAGCATTATGCTCGAGTTTTCACATTGGTACTTTTTCCAAGTGTCATTTCCTTTCTTTTTTTTTGGTTGTAATTATAATTATGTCTTTTCCCGCCATCAATGGACTCCTCAAAAAATTTCAAGCCACAACAACAAGAGGGTCACACCCTTCTACAAATCCAAGATAACATCTTTGTATGCAAGTTAAGAATTTACATTAACTGCCAAACGAATCTTCTTCCTCTATCCAAACACTGTAACTTCTCAGCACTATGGTAAAACTTCAGGACTAATCTTTATCTTGAAGAGATCGATTTTGTCGGGGAAATGAAGATCTGGCTTTTTCGACAAAACGTAAGGGTAATTCGCTTGAAATGTAAACAACATTGGACTTTTTCTTGGAAAGGTGGAGGGAAACACTTATTATGAAGGACCACTGCCTACTTACTGCTGTCATTGTACTCTTATTCCCTACATAATTGCTTCCACTCAACATAAAGTGATTTAGTGAGCTGAATCAAATCACTCTAATGAGTTCTCGATGTCTATAACAAAGCGGTACTTCACATCGCCCTTTTGAAGTCTTTCAAGAGCTTCATTCGCATATTGAATGGGAATGACTTCGACATCAGGATATATCTCGTGCTGGCCGCAGAATTCAAGCATCTGTTGGGTTCGCTTTGTACCGCCGACTGAACTTCCAGAAACCGTCCTCATGCCTGAACCGAAGCTATGCATTTCAAGAAGTAAAGTAGTCATAATTTCTAATGTTCCAAAAGAGGGAGTGAATTGGAAGATAAGGCAGAGATGAACTGTACTTAGTGAGAGAATGCTTACCCATGAGAAGGCTGAGTGGGCTGACTTTTATCTCTTAACCCGGATAGCCAACCAAAGCTAAGACTCCTCCTGTCTTAAGCAATGGTAGGTATAGATCAAATGGGTTGTCTCCAGATGCTGTGTCGACTATGAAGTCCAGAGTTTTCGACAAAGCCTGTACAAAAAACAGAAGATTTTAGAAACCCTGAAATGGTATGTATCTGGTATAATACCCAACTTGAGAAACTTAAAGACTCAATCGCGGTTAATCTTATTGCCATTTGATCCTTGTCAGATGAGATCACAAAATTGTCTGCTTTTAGCAGATTCAAGGCATCATCTTTCTTGGAGATGCTTGTGCTGAAAATAGTTACAGTCAATCCAAAGGCCTTAGCGAACTTCACGGCCAGATGACCAAGCCCACCAAATCCGATTACTCCTATTGATTTTCCCGGTTCATTCATCTTGTGGTGAATCATTGGAGTGTAGACCGTGATTCCGGCACACAACAAAGGTGCTGCTAGAGCAAGTGGATACTTTTCAGGTATTTTGTAGCAATACCTGTAAGGTCCACAATGAGTACTGAATCAAGCAAACACTAACTTATGTTTCATAGAAATGAATGCTGAAAGGAGGGCATCAAGACAAAAACAATGGACAACTTAGGAAAATAGTGCATTGGCACCGTATCCTCTGAAATTTTATCTTCAAACCATTAATCTTTTTTAGATTAAGGCGATGTTGATTCATGATCAGCAAGTAAAGTATAGACGAACTGCTCCAATGAGATTTTTTAAAAAATATTCAAAGAAAAGTAGCGCTAGCGCTAACAAACATAAAAAATCATTTGGAAGAAAATGTTTCGATTGTTATATTTTCTTACAATCCAAGGGCACAGCCGTGAAAACCGAACTACCTGAAAGTCCATAAAACACCTTGCAAGTCCCATAAACTAGTTAAATCCACACCTTTAAGTTGAGGGGGTCCCCTAATTCGGAGCACTTTGCACGCAAATAATGAGATTTGAACATGTAACCTCCAATTCCTAAATTGAAAATCTCCTAATGTCTAACCAATTGCGCCAACCCTAGGGTTGTTCCAATGACTAATTATCCCATTAACTGACATGAAGAAGTGTTATTTGGACAAGCGTCCGTGGAATTGCTAACCATATGTGCTAATTAATTTCTCTAATCTTCAGCAAACTTGGCACGATGGTGAACATTGTTAGAAAGCCCTACCTAAAAATTTAAATTAATAGATGGAAGGAGACCACATGACTCGTTGTCAAGCGACGTGGGACAATCTTTCAACTCCCTCTCTCACGTGCATGACGGTTTAGGAGTGGCACATGGAATTTGACCGATGAGGATGGATGCATATACACGAACAAGATAGCACTAGCTCTGATACCATGTTTGAAAGTCCAATAATTCAAAGTCTCCTTCCATTGTCGTCCTCCAATTAGATAATTAAATTGATCCCACCATTTCAGAAACTTTTCTATCAAGTAACAAAAGGTCAATTACCTCTCGTGGACGACTATGAAACTAGAATATCCTCCTTGCGTAATCGAACCATCCTCATAAGTGCCATTGATTGTCATCGTGACTCCCCTTAAGCAATAAATTTCTTGCGCATCCTCGCAATTCTCGCAAGCTCTACACGAGTCGAGATAGGTTCCGACGCCCACATGGTCTCCGATCTTGAACTTGCCAACGTTGCCACCCACTTCTTGTACAATCCCCACGATCTCATGTCTACGGACACAGATAAGCATCAGGAAGAAAAGGAATTTTAAAAGTTGAAGTAGTGAAGAACCACATGTGATATGAACATATTGTCGTGACAATGCTATTTGCGAAGCGAATAGAGACTAGACAGTCATTAATACTTACCCGGGAACCAAAGGATACACGGAGTTCTTTATCTTGTTGCGGGTATACACCACGTCGGCGTAGCAGATGCCGCAGTGAATGATTTTCACCGATACGTCATCGCTTCCCGCAGCTCTGTCAAAGGATACGTTCGGTCATTTGAAGATATAGAGAGATTTCATCAGACATACATTTATTGTAATTAAACTGGGCGCGTGTAAAGAGTGTGTTACTATTGTTGCAACACTAATTAAACTTATCACCTCCGCTCAAATTCGTAAGAAGAGAGAAGCCCTGAGTCGTCTCTTGCTGCCCATGCATGGCAGTTCTTGCTCATCTCTTTGTCCGATGATGGACTCATTTTCTCTCTCTGCCTAACTTTACCTCTAAAGAGACGAAATACTGAAATCTTGTGAGATTTTTATGAGATCAGATGCAAATGTTTGAAGATCTCCAGTGTGGCAATGAAAAGCCTTGTGAGTTTTCATGCAAATTTATATGCGACGCCCTCGCTAAAATTACGTCATCGCCTACCTCAAATGTGCAGCAACTTTGACTATTCCTATTTCTTTTGCTTTAATTGACCTGAGGAAGAAGTAGAATTATATATTAATCCATTGGCAAAAGAACCCCCTTTGGATATGAGCATGCGTCATCAGGTCCACTTAGAGTCTCAGACCATAAACTTTCTGAACTTTGCAAAGTGTCTAGAAACCTCAACGTTGTGTAGAGAACAAGTCGCTCCGGAAATAATCTTCAACGTTTCTGTGCTGTTGAATCAATAATTTGGTAGTCAGGCACTCTCTACAAGCATTTCGTATGTAATGCTCTCAAATGAAGAGGCATTGTGGGGCGAGTACAGTGGATGCACTAAAAATACATTTGAATCGTTAAATATAATGGAGCCCATGTAAGTATGGCGAATCCTGCTATACGTGGTGGTCCAGATAGAGTTTAGTGCATATTACGTCCATTGAATAGTTTCACATCAAATAACAGACGATCTGTCATACAGAGGTAGCATCACATGAACGTCGCAAATACAATCACACAAGCAACCATGAGCGGCTTTCTTTTTTCGGTACATAGGTATAAAATGGAAAACAAACAGGTTTTATTCCCTAGATCCCAGGATCTGGTGCCTCATGTCTCGTGCTTGGGTGTGCTGGCGCCAATCTCGTTGTTTGCCTCCTGCCGAAAGAACAAAACTACTGGATCGGTTTAATATGTCATCAACAAGACACGAGATATTACCGTATGAAAGCAATATTTTGGGCACACCCGGTTTATGTAAACACAAGGCACGCGAAAATTGTCGTGTGATTCGCATTATCTGACGGCTCACATATGTTGGGCTCACGTGGGCTAAACGTGAGTAATGTATAATTATACTAACTGTAGTATTAAATAGAAATGATCGTTCCTTCCAAAGGTTAAGGTTGTCCCAAAGAAAGTAAAAAACTCCTATTTCACGTGATGTAGGTGCTGACGTTCTTGAGGAAGGCTAATGCGCCTATATATAGTGTGTTGACACCTAAATTTTGATGACCTAGTTAGTTGTTCGTTACATAAAAATTAGAGATCGATCCCGATCCCTAGAAAAAAAAATTAGTTAAATTGCATATAGATTAGGAGCATTTGAGTTAGTATTTAGGCTCATATAGCTACATTTGCATTGGACCGGCGGCGGATGGACTTCAGTGAATGGTTTTGAGCTTAATTGATTGGATTTAGCCCAAAGATTAAATGTTTGTCGAAGCCCATTGAATACATATATGGCCGAAATTTGCATTATAGAGCAAGTTGGAATAATTGAATTATCAAATTATTAAATAATATACTTGGAAGATAATTCATATTATTCTATGAATATTCAGCTAGAGGAAATAATTGGAAAATTACCTAAGTTGAGTATCAGAATTAGGAAATAATATATCTTGGCTCTTGCAAAATAACTCTGGCTAACTCTTATAAATAGATATGTTAGGGTTCACAATTGAGAAGGCCACACATATTGAATACACAGCCACAAGAAAGCGAGAGAGAAGAGAAGGGAGCGTCTGCCCAAAAGGTTCACGGAGGGGCTTCGTTCATACAGAGATACACGCGTACAGGCACATATTGAGAGGACACGGCGACTACATTGAGAGAATCGGCCCAGCAATTGAGAGAGCATAGAGAGAATAGATAGTGGAGGAGCATAACACACCCAAGGAGTTCTGTTTTGTTTTCTTGCAGGTGAGACACTGGACACACGTTCATCATATTAGAGAAGTCGCCAAAAGGGGTCTTTCACCGTACAGAGAAAAGACAAGGAAAAAGAAAGAACCAAACGGGAAGTGGAAATTGAGAAAGTCAAGTGGTGGGGAACACACTATACTCTGCCACGTTGGCAGGCCAAGAATTGCATGACCAGTTTTCTTCACCACACGAGCAAAGAGAAGACATTCGGCCAATCTTTCCTTTGCAGATTGTTGCTGTGCACGGTCTCGCTCCGTGATTTCCATTGGTGTTCGTTGTCTCCACATCCTTCTCACCGTGAGTCCAGTGTGTTGAGTCATCCTTCATCACGAGTTGCTCCCCACCGAGAGCCATCATCCGTTGAGGCCCGAGATCCGCAATCCCGATCTGTTGTCGTTCAAATTCGGAAATGTCATCCATGAAACATTTCGAATTAGGTAATATGTTATCTGATTAAATTTCAATATATTAAGTTGCCTAATTTGAATGTATTGTGATCTCAATTAGATGTCGTGTCGATATTCTCATATTCATAAATATTTTTGAAATCCATGAATTAGGAATTATGGTCGCCAATCCGATCTCATGCCCGAGGTAGGATTCGCGATTGCACGGAAAATCGTCAATCTGATCTCCCGCCCGAGATATAATTCGCGATTGCATTGAAAATTGGCCAATCCGATCCTCATGCCCGAGATGTGATTTGTCAATTTATTTTCCAAATTTGAATGGATATGGATGATATCTTGGTTGATTGGATGCTATCTTTGATTTTGGTTTGAATCTTTGTTTTGATTTGATTTGAATCTCCCAAAAAGATTAGATAGGATCAAGGTAAGTTTTTTTTTAATAGATTGCATGCTTTTATAGGGTTTATCTAGTTAGGATAACATTCTGATTTAAATTAGGATTTGGCCTAGTTTAATTCCTAAAATGAATTGGACAATATCTTGCACTAAATAATAAATTTTCATTATTTTCTAATTCCGAATTTCATGAAAAAATACCAAAAATAAACATGTGCTTGTCATGCTAGAATAATTGCGTATTAATTTTGGCCCTTTATTAGAAACCGCATGTTCAGGTCATTTAATTAGGAATCGCATTGCATGCATTGCATATAGGTTAGTTTTCATTTAAATAAGAGAAAACCCTAAAAAAGATTTGAATGAAATTGCATGTTAATTAGAAATCATATTAGGATTGTCAATGTGATTTTCTAACTAATGTTGCGGATGCTTTCGTTGCTTTGAGGTAAGTCCGTATCTTGCAATTTATTTATTGCTTTGCATTATTGAGTGTTATATTATTGATTGTGCATCCGCATGATCACCTCGCATATTAGTAGATAGGTTTAAAATCAATCCAAGCTAACTGCAAATATTTTTGAAATGAAAGAGAAAAGGTACCAAAAGAGTATTAGAGTAATCTAGTGTAAACAAGTCCCCGAATCCATAATCTCTGGTTCGTAGGAGTGAACTAATTCTCTCAATATTTTACTTGAGTTTCTAATCGACCCACTCAGAAAATAGGCTTGGGAAAGCCCGAGCTAGGTTTAGGCTTAGTAATCCACTAGCCGAGCCCGAAGGTGGTGCACCGCAGGAGGTGAGGTCGCGACATAGTGCATTGAACTCCATGGTGTTTTCACCGCAACACACCCTCGGTGATCTCTCCTAAAAAATTGGTGTCTTTTCACGGTTCATCTTTTCAAGGCAAACGCGCAGAGAATGAGTTCAGGCCAAGTGATGAGCAAGAACAGCCATGCATGGGCAGGAAGAGACGATTCGGGGCTTCCCTCTCCTTATGAATTTGAACGCAGGTTAATATTCTGGGTTGTAAATAGCACGTCCTATATGCAATACCTCCATGGAACTGATTCATTACATGTGATGTCTATCGACTTAACTGATATCTCTTTCAATTCCATTTTAAAATGACTAAATGAGAAACTTACCTTCCAACAGAGGGGTTGGAACCGACGACGTGTCAGTGAAAATCACTCATTGTGGCATTTGCTACGCGGACGTAGTTTATACCTGCAACAAGCTAAAGAACTCTATTTACCCCCTGGTTCCCAGGTATGTTCTCATTTGTTTAATTTACTAACATTCGCTCCAATAGAGATGGTCACCAGAATGGGCAAAAGTACACCACAAGTGCCATAACTTGTATACGGCGATCACTTTGGTGCCATAACTTTTTTCGGATCACTTTGGTGCCAAGTCGGAGGAAAAGAGATTACTTTAGTGCCAATTTGGCCGGAAATCCGACGTGGCATTTTTTATTAATTTTTTACGCCGACGTGGCTCGCCGGAGGCTGAGTCAGCGTGTACAGTCAGCATTTTTTATTTTAAATAATTTTTTTCAACGTGTACAGTTAGCATTTTTAATTTTAAATTTTTTTTCCTTTTTTTTTTCTTCTTTCCTTTTTCTTTTCTTTTTTTTCTATTTTCTCCTCGCCGGCTGGTTGTCGGTGGCCGGCTGGCCACCGGCGAAGCCCGGGAAGGGCTGGGCAAGGGCCTCCTTGCCCATGGCCGGCGAGGGGCGGCCGACCCAGGTGAGGGCTACCCTCGCTAGATGCGGCGAGGGCGACCCTCGCCGGCGTCGGGCGAGGGAAGCCCTCGCCTGGGCGGGCGAGGGTCGCCCACGCCCGACTCAGGCGAGGGCGACCCTCGCAGATCCGGTGAGGGCTTCCTCGCCCGAAGTCGGCGAGGGTTGCCCTCGCCGGATCTGGCGAGGGCGACCCTCGCCGGCATCAGGCGAGGGCGACCCTCGCCTGGGCCAGCGAGGGGCGGCCTCACCTGTCGCCGGCGAGGGTCGGCCGCCCCTCGCCGGCCATGGGCAAGGCCGCCCTCGCCTAGCCCTTCCCGGGCTTTGCCGGTGACCGGCCAGCGAGGAGAAAATAGAAAAAAAAGAAAAGAAAAGAAAAAGGAAAGAAGAAAAAAAAAAAAAATATTTAAAATTAAAAATGCTGACTGTACACGCTAAAAAAATTACTTAAAATAAAAATGCCGATCAGACACGCTTACTCACCTCCAATGAGCCACGTCGGCATAAAAAATTAATAAAAAATGCTACGTCGAATTTCCGGCCAAATTGGCACTAAAGTGATATCTTTTCCTCCGACTTGGCACCAAAGTGATCCGAAAAAAAGTTATGGCACCAAAGTGATCGCCGTACACAAGTTATAGCACTTGTGGTGTACTTTTGCCCACCAGAATGTATATCTATGGGCATGAGATCGTGGGGATTGTGCAAGAAGTGGGTGACATCGTTACCAATTTCAAGGTTGGAGATCACATCGGTGTCGGAACCTATCTTGATTCATGCAGACATTGCAAGTATTGTAAGGGTGGACAAGAAGTTCATTGCTCAAAGGGAATTACTGAGACAATTGTTAAAGGAAGAAAATACTCAGCAAATATTTAGGGAATATTTGTTATTCTGTTACCTTTTGTATCTTATCTGTTGAGGGAAGAAAATATTTAGGGAATATTTATTATGATATTACCTTAAGTATCTTATCTCTTAGAGTCCTTTATATACATTGTATTTGCAACACAATGATGTACAGAAAAAAAGAGCAATAAAATTTTCTTCTCTAAAACGTAATTCTTCTTTTCAAGTTGGTATCAGAGCATCTTTGGTGAAAGCCTCACCGATCCATGTCTAAAGAAACATCATCTTCTGCACCGACGTTGTCATCAACAGCCTCGAATAATCCCACTCTCATGTCACCACCAAGTATTGGGGAGAAGCTAACCAGGACGAACTTTCCGATCCGGAAAACACAGATCTCACCGTATTTATGCGCTGCCCGCTTGCTGTCCATTTTGGACGGCACCGAACCTCAGTCGGAGGAGACTGTCAAGGAGATTGCACTAGGAGGGGCTGTTACGCAGATGACCAATCCAGCGTTTGAAAACTGGAAATTTCGAGAGTCCATTGCCTTGGCTTGGATCCTTAGTTCGTCGACCGCTCCGATAGTTGCCCAATTGATGAGTCACACATCCGCAGCAAGTGTTTGGAAGTATCTTGCGGACTCGTATGCCGCTCAATCAACTGCGCCCGCGTCTTCTTTACAGCTCCAGCTTCAATCACTCTCAAAAGGCCAACGATCCGTCACAGAATTCCTACAAGAAGCTACCAGTCTCACGGATCAGTTAGCTGCTATTGGTGAGCCTTTATCTATTAATGAATGTCATACTCAATTGTTTCATGGTTTGGTGCCGAATTTTAGGGTCTCGACACCGCAATTTCCGTTTTAACTCAAACCGGGTCTTTGACAAAGGACCAACTTCATGCCTTAATTCTTAATCACGAGGGAAGGCTAGAGCTAGCGTTGGTAACAAATAATCAGCCCCCACCGGCAGCTTTTCAGACCAGCCAAGGACCGCCTTCTTCTCGACAGACCCATCACGGTTCCAACAACTACCATGCAGATTTTAATCAATCTGGGAATTTTTCTGGAATATCCCATGGCCGTGGCTCACATTATGGAACTGGAAATCGCAGGAGACGCCGCAACGGAGGAGGCTCATTTTGTCAGCTTTGTGGCAAGCATGGCCATAGGGCCAATACATGTTATCGTTTTGTTGGATCAGTTCAGCCCGCACAAGCCCACTTGACGGGTCCGGACTCACTGCCACAGTATTTACCGCCATCAAGTCCGCCCTCTGCTCTCACATCTTCGGCGTGGTTTGTTGATTCAGGTGCTACACATCATGTTATGGACAATTCTACAGGACTTACAAGCGTCAATCCATATTTAGGTCAAACTCAGCTTGTTGTGGGTGACGGCGTCTCGTTACCGATCACCCACACAGGTACACTCGTGTCCTCTTCTCCATCATTTATACTTTGTCAAATTTTAGTCATACCTGGAATCACTAAAAACTTACTTTCCGTGTCTCGATTTGCACTTGATAACTATTGTGTTTTCCAATTCAATTCTAACTCTTTTATTGCCACGTCTATTAAAAATGGTCAAGAAATCCTCCGCGGAGTACTTGACAATGGGCTTTACCGCATCACCCTTCCGTCCTGCCACTCTTCCACACCTTCTGCGTCAGTTGCTTCCCTCACTCTATGGCATAACCACTTTGGACATGCCACCACCGACCGGCTTGTGCATCTTCTCAATTCATCCAACATTAGCTTTAGTCGTCCTTTATCTTCAGTTTGTACAGTGTGTACTATGAATAAAAATCACCGCCATAGTCATTATCCTACTTTGTCTAGGTCAAAACATCCTTTGGAATTAATTCATTTTGATATTTGGGGTCCCTCTCCTTTTATTTCATTCAACGGCAATAAACATTATATTTGTTTTATTGACGATTTCTCGCGTTTTACTTGGTTCTATTCATTCTCATCTCGCAGTCAATTTTATTCCATTTTTAAAGCCTTTCACAAACTTGTTGAAAATCAACTTAACTGCAAAATTAAGTCTATACAGAGCGACGGAACACTTGAATTTGTCACATCTACCGAATTTTTCCAATACATTAGAGAGCATGGCATTCACCAATGGATTTCTTGTCCTTATGCACCATATCAAAACGGGACTGCGGAACGAAAACATCGACATATAGTCGAAACTGGATTGACTCTTCTTCATCAAGCTTCTGTTCCACCAGTATTTTAGGAGTTTGCTTTTGAAACGGCGGTTTATTTGATTAACCGCACGCCAACACCAGTCATTGATAATATTTCACCTTGGGAGGCTTTATTTCACACTAAACCCGATATTACGCATTTACGTGTTTTTGGTTGTGCGGTATATCCATTTCTTTGCCCTTACTCGCCCCATAAGCTTGCACCAAGATCCAAGGTTTGCATCTTTATGGGCTATCCTCCGGGATATAAAGGATATCGCTGCTATTGCCCCAAGGATAAGCGTTTTTATGTTGTTGCGGATGCCATTTTTGATGAGGCCATCTATCCTCTTGCTACCATGCCAAACTCCTCTCAAAATGTCTCAACACCAATCAGTGGGGAACTATTTTTTGCCTGCTAATTTATCCCTATCATCCTCGACAGCTGCTGGACCACCCGAGTTTCCAAGGGTTTCCCCATCAAATCTGGATGTTTCGCTTGTTGACACCACCGACACTGCAACTAAACCTGTTGAGGTACCACAAGAAACTCCTACCACGGTACCAGCATCATTTTCACATCCTATGACGACCCGCCTTCAAGATGGGACCATAACTCGTCGCACTTTTAAAAGAAATCACACCTCGGCTCTTGTGGTTCAATCTAGTATTCCTGAAGAACCCACTTGTTTTTCCAAGGCTGCAAAGGATGAGAAATGGCAGCTCGCAATGCAGTCCGAATACAAAGCACTAATGGAGAATGGCACATAGGATCTTGTTCCGCTTCCCGCTCATGCTCAACCCATCGGATGCAAATGGGTGTATAAAATTAAAATCCGCTCCGACGGAACTATTGAACGATATAAAGCAAGATTGGTCGCCAAGGGTTTTCATCAACAAGAGGGTATCGATTACACCGAGACGTTTAGTCCAGTGGCCAAGCCCGTTACTATAAGCACGGTCTTATCTTTGGCATATTCTCAACATTGGTCCATTCGATAATTGGATGTCTCTAATGCGTTCCTACACAGATTACTTGAGGAGGAAGTTTATATGACTCAACCGCAAGGTTTCGTTGATGCGAGTAAGCCCGACTATGTTTGTCGTCTTCGACGCTCGTTATATGGTCTTAAACAAGCGCCTCGCGCTTGGTACACCCGCTTGAGTTTCTATTTGTGCGACTTGGGATTTGTCATATCCAAGGCCGACACCACCTTGTTTGTCAAACACACGGCCGATTTCACCATTTACTTATTGGTGTACGTTGACGACATTATTTTAACCGGTTCCCCGAATGCTCCATTACATGATCTCATGCAATCCCTTCAGTTGGAATTTGCTATCAAGGATTTAGGGGACATTCAATATTTTTTGGGGATTGAAGTGCTTCATACCAACGATGGGTTACATCTTCACTAGGGTCAATTTGTGAGGAAAATACTAGGGGTGATCGGTTCCAGGGTAGATTGGGTCCAAACCTGGAACCTGAAATCAACCCTGTTATAACCGGTTCCTAATTTTTGGAACCTGAAACCGACCCTGTTTTTTCGGTCCGATTTCAGGGTCTACCCAAGAACCTGTTTTTTTTTTTTGTTCCTTTTTCTGGTTTCATTTTTTTCTAGCAAAATAATATATGTAGCAATGAAACGATTCAAAATAAAAGATTAATAATAAAATCACTATCTGCCAAAAGTAACAATCCCTAAAATGGGCAATTGAAATTACAATCCAAAAGCACTATGTGGCAAGACATAGTCCAATCGCATAAATCTTTAAGAGTCACATTTCTAGGAATCTGTTCAACATGTTTAGCTCTTTATTTTGCGCCATGATGAGAGCTCCTCACTTCTGTTTCCAAAAATCCGAAGGCTCCGATCCACACATCAGAATCTGATAAACAATCGTCCCATGCCAAAAAGCTCCAGCATCCTTCCCTGCCTTACGAGAGGACAAAAAGCTCCAACTGAAAAGTAATGAATATACAAAGTAGTGATTAGGATTTGGGATCTTGGTGATTGCCCACTTGAGGGAGAGTTATAGGTTTGCTGTCCTTTTCTTTTTGATTAAAATGGGACTAACACCAGGACATATATCTAAATATATACACTGACCTTTTGGAGGTGGCCTGAATCCAGCTGTGTTACCAATGGATAGAAACCTCATGGTCTAGCCAAGAACAGAAGTAATGACCATACCCTAAAATCAAGATGAGAAAAGGCCAAGGAGATATTCTTTACACACCTTGTCATATAGATCCCTGCTGCAAGAGCTATGACTCCCCCAACTGCTACTACCAACTTATTTTGATCTGTCAAAATGGCCCGCAATCCACCTACAGAAGAAAAAGTCATCATCAATAATCCACACTTCCCAAGAAACAAGAACCATTTGTGCCACATAGGATAAATAAGCAAAGAAAAGAAGAGATCAAAGTCACAGGTTTGATAGCCATGTTCCTAATATGCCCTATATAAATACAGAAAGCAGAACATCAATATTGACAGTATCAAAAGAAATGAACGTTTTCAAAAGGAAGTCTATTTACCAATGATAATGTCCTCAGTAAGACAATCCAAATCTAAAAACCAAAAAAAAGACTAAATAAAGTATTCACTTAATAGATAATATGTGAATGAATTACAAAATAGAAAGAAATTTAAACGACTTACCTGACTCAAACTTTTCCGCATTCTCAATGCACTCTTCAACATTAATTGGCACGCGAACGGCTCTCAACCAATCTTGAGTGCAAATCAAACCTTTCACCACTCTAAGAGTCAAAGAAATTCGAAAGCCGTCAAGCACACGTCCCGATGTACTAAAAGTCGACTCCGAAGCAACGGTAGTCATGGGAATTGACAAAACATCCTGAGCCATCAAAGATAAGATTTTATACTTTGACCCAGTACTCTTCCACCACATCAAAAGGTCAAAAGTAATGACATCTTCACTTTCGGCTTCAAGATACTGATCAAGCTCAGATTTGTTTTCATCAAGCACTGTTTTTTTCGCGTGAAGAAAGCTTTGTCGCCAAGCTTGGATGTCATCCTCATTGTCACCTTCATTGTTATCATTATTGACATTGGAACCACTACTACTAGAACTCACACTTGAAGCACCAAAATTTTGTTTACTAGAACCAACAAGGGATTGCTCATAAAATTTATACAAACACTCCAAGGCAAGCTTCACCTTATCATGCATCTCATCAATTTTTGCTTCATCATCATAAATTTGTCCGTAATAGAATTTCACATAATTTAACTTTTTTGTGGGATCCAACGCAACCGCAATTAACACCATCATGTTTACTTTATCCAAACTCCCATAATATTTGTCAAACTTCTCCTTCATTTTTAAACCCATAGCTTGAAGCTTAGGGTCCAAAGAATTCGCCGCATGATTCAAATATTTATACAAAAAGGCTATATTCTCAAAGTAATCATTTGAAGTAACATATGAACTCCCCGACATCCGTTTGGTCGCATTATAAAACTATTTTAGAAATTTAGAAAGAATGATAGCATTTTCCCAATCTTCATTTCGAGGAGAATCATAGTCAATCTCCCTTAAGAAAGATGAATCATCTTCTTCCATCCTTTCAAAAGCTTTCCTGAACTTTATGGCGGTGTCTAACATTAGGTAAGTGGAATTCCATCTAGTGGCAACATCAAGACAAACTGAACCCTTGTATGTGATCCTCTCATTCTCAATACAAGATTGAAATGTTTTGGCTCTCATGGGAGAACTCCTCACATACCTAACTATAGTTCGGATACGTGCAATAGAATCACGCACCTCATTCAATCCATCTCGGACAATCAAGTTTAATATATGAGCTGTGCACCGCATAAGTAAAACATCACCATTCAAGATCAAAAGTCTTTCCCTTGAAAATTTTTCCTTCAAATAATCAACGGCCACATCATTGGAACTAGCATTATCCACAGTTATTGTGGACACCTTATTTTCTATTCCCCACTCGTAAATGCATTTCTCCATCATTTTCCCAATCTCTCTACCCTTGTGACTACGTATCACCGCAAAATTGATGATTCTTTTATGCAACTTCCAGTTTTCATCAATAAAATGTGCAGTGAGACATAAATAGTTCAAGTTTTGGATGGAACTCCACATATCAGTCGTAAGTGCAATCCTAGAATTAAGCTTACCAAAGTAAGCTTTCAAACAAGTTTTTTTTTCACTCAGATACAACTTCATACAATCTCTAGCTACTGTAAATCGTGATAAATGTTGGAAAAGAGACTGTAATTGAGCGACAAAATCACGAAAATCGACACGCTCAACCGTGGAAAAAGGTTGTTCATCAATAATAATCATCCGAGCAAGCATGTGCCTAGAACGTTCATGATCAAACTTCCACGTTGTTAAGACACTACCACCATCAGTACTTTCCCCTACCTCGCCAACCACATCTTTGTTACGTGGTGCAAAGAACATTTGCTTCTTATTTGCATGAGGATACTTTTTGCACTTTGTCAAGTACTTCCGCATAGTAGACGTTCCATGATCAACAGAATAATTATACTCAGTCCCACAGTGAATGCACTTTACCCTATTTGTTTTTTGTGTTTTCTCGTCTATAATTCTCGAAAAATTATCCCAGGTCTCCGATTGATTAGCTCGCTTTTTACTAAGAGGAGGATGGGAGTTAGATACACCCACCTTGTTTGTCGCAATCACGGTCATAAAGTCCACTTCAGCAGCTCCTTCGAATGGCAATTTCATGAGCGGACTCATTTCATTATATCCATCCACTTCAATTGATGTGTCTTTGTCTTGATCCATCAACTAAAATCAAATTATACAACAATGTCAGGATTTTACCGAAAACAAATTTAAGTAAGAGCCAAAAGATTGTTGCACAACCAAACAAAAGAACTTGTAAACTGAAAGCCTAAAGGTCACACTTGTTGCACACCAAACACTCACCAAACTAACAGGGAGAGGAATGCGACCAAGCTAACCAAACATGAACTTGATACTTGTACCAACATATTTGAAGCTTTTCATGCGCTTTTAACTACATATATGAATTCCATAGAGTTTCAGACCTAGCCACAACAAATTCAATCCATGCATTAGAGATCAGAACCTAATATAATCAAACACAACACAACAAAGGGGGTTGATTTCAACAACCAATCAGGTTTGGGTCAGCATCACATGGTCGATCTGTGAGCTTTTGAGCATACAAAGAACAAAATGTAGAGACAAAATATTTCTTGCCAGAATTAACCATCTCACTGAAAGTCATTACTATGTGAACACACCCAGTTCTTGGACCTAATCTTTACCACAAAAAAGAAACTGTAGAGCTCAGTCGAACTAATCGAGCAAGAAGCAACAACAAGCACTAGAATTCCATGTCACAATCAGTAAACCAACCGCAGCAAATCAAGAATTGACCAAATTGAAGGAAAAGAGGGAACACAAATGCCAACATGAGCACACAGAGACGCACGCGCACTGACACCACGAAGCTAATCCCACAAACCAACTATGACAATTCCAAAAATTTGAGAGAAGCTTTCACTGATCTAAACTCTAAAGCGGGCGATCTTGCATGAATGATCCAAAGGATGACGACAAGATCATAATAACCAGTTTCGAGTATAATGAGCTTGCAACATATAGAGTTTCGAGTTGAGGCCAACCACTAAAGTCAGGTACGCAACCAATGCTTACATTCTTCCATTAAACAAACTCAGAAGTCCAAGAAGCAAGAGATAAAAGTTTCAAAAAAAAAAAACTCAGACAAGCCGAATTCCGCAAAATCAGATGGCGTCTATTCCTTCAAGTCCTTCACTAATCATCAAAACTTAGAGAATCTTCTACACCAACCCAAGCCCGCGGCGAAAAACCCCTAAAACTCGAACTCGAACACTTCCCCAACACTAGAACCCTAAAACTCGAACGCAAAACTTCAAACTCGAACTCGAACACTTCCCCAACACTAGAACAGATTTGAAGCTCGAGCTCGAAACCATCTGACCTTGCAACAAAGACGAAGAAGAGAGACTGAGGGAACGGAGGACTCACGGATCAGCGAGAGCCGAATGGGTGAAGTGAACGAGGAGCCTCCTCGGTTGCGTAATTGCGTTCTTGCGGCGATCGACGAAGAGAGAACTGAGACAAAGAGAGAATCGAGACAGAGGAGAGGCGAAGAGAGAACCGAGACAGTGATCGTGATCTAGATCTAGGGTTTTTTTGTTTTTTTTTATATTATCTTAAAACCGGTTCTAAAACCGGTCCGGGTCGGTTTTTACTCGGAACCGGAAACCGGACCGGTTCTAACCAATTCCAAAAACTGCTGCTCCTACCAATTCCATGGAACCAGACACGGTTGCTTCTCATGAGCCGCTTGCGGATCCATTTCAGTTCGAAGCATTGTGGGAGCACTTCAATATCTCACTCTTACGCAGCCCGATATTGCATATGCGGTGAATTCGGCTTGTCAACATCTTCATGCCCCCACTATGGCCGATTGGCAGGCCGTGAAACGCCTACTGCGTTACTTGGCTGGTACGGTCTCGCATGGTCTTCTTTTTACTCAAGCGGTAGCCACTAAGCTCCATGCATTTTCTGACGCCAGTTGGGCGGGCGATCGGACGGACCGTCGCTCTGTTGGTGGGTTCTGTGTCTATCACGGACCCAATCTCATCTCTTGGTCATCTCGCAAGCAACGGACCGTGGCTCGTTCCAGCACCGAAGCAGAATACAAATGTCTTGCAAATACAACGACGGAGTTAATGTGGCTTGAATATCTTCTTCGGGATCTTCATGTGCAACCACCCGAGCCACCCACTCTTTGGTGCGATAACTTATCCGCCATCTACTTATCTGCAAATCCTGTGTTTCATGCTCGAACCAAACATGTGGAAATTGATTATCATTTCATTCGGGAACGCAGTACTCGGAAACAATTGGTAGTCCGCTACATTTCTACCGAAGAACAAAATGCTGATATCTTCACTAAAGGCTTGCCTACCCGCCGGTTTCTTCAATTGCTGTCCAAGCTAATGGTTCACCCTCACCATTAGTTTGCGGGGGGATGTTAAAGGAAGAAAATACTCAGCAAATATTTAGGGAATATTTGTTATTCTGTTACCTTTTGTATATTATCTGTTAAGGGAAGAAAATATTTAGGGAATATTTGTTATGATATTATCTTAAGTATCTTATCTCTTAGAGTCCTTTATATACATTGTATTTGCAACACAATGATGTACAGAAAAAAGAGCAATAAAATTTTCTTCTCTAAAACGTAATTCTTCTTTTCAAGTACAATCAATGGCACCCGCAAGGATGGTACCACCACACAGGGCGGATATTCGAGCTTCATAGTTGTTGATGAGAGGTAATCTGTAAAATATTCTTGGGTGGAAGTTCTTTATATGGTTCACATTGTCCTGGTACATCCATGTCGGTTTTTGCTACATACGTTAAAGACTGCCGAATCAACAGGTTTTGCTATAAGATACCTGAAAAGTATCCATTAGCTCTGGCGGCACCTTTGCTGTGCGCTGGAATCACAGTCTACAGTCCGATGATCCAACACAAAATGAATCAACCCGGGAAATCCGTAGACGTGATTGGACTTGGTGGGCTCGGTCATATGGCTGTGAAGTATGCTAAGGCTTTTGGACTGAATGTCACTGTTTTCAGCACGAGCTTGTCCAAGAAAAATGACGCTTTGAATTTGCTAAAAGCAGATAAATTTGTGCTCTCATCTGACAAGGAACAAATGGCTGTAAGAATCCTACTGCCCGCTTGATCTCTTGAGGTTTCATAGATTTGGTTTTGGGGATCCTAAAACTCTTTTGTTTTTTCAGGCTATGGCTAAATCTCTGGACTTTATCGTTGACGCAGCATCGGGAGACCACCCACTTGATCTATACATGTCATTACTTAAGACAGGAGGAGTTTTAGCGTTGGTAGGCCTTCCAGGCGAGGAAATAAAACTCAATCCACTTAGCCTTCTCATGGATAAGCATTCTCTCCACAAGACCTATCACATTAATCTCATTTTTCTCAGTTTAAAATCCACTTAGTGACACCTTTAATTGCATATTTGATATAGGTACGAGGAGCATTCCCGGAAGTGTTCTAGGCGGTGTAAAGCGAACGCAGGAGATGATCGATTTTTGTGCTGAGCATGAGATTTATCGAGAGGTTGAAGTAGTTCCAATCCAATATGCAAATGAAGCTCTTGAGAGGCTCCAGAAGAGCGACGTGAAATACCGTTTCGTGATAGACATCGAGAACTCCTTAAAGTAACTCGGCTTGTCAAGGAATACCATGCTCGAGATTAACTTTGTAATCTAAACGAACTCTATCTCTATCTCTATGGTTTGAGTGTACGAAGACGAATAAGTAGGAAGTAATCCTTCTCCATTACAACTGTGTTTCATCTTCTTGACAATAAAAAGGTGATTACTTGATGAATATTTCTGTTTGAGTGATATTCTGAGTGAACTCATTGTATACTAAGAAGCCAATCATCATTGATGCAATGTATCTAGCTATCAAAATACGATGATGGATAGTCAATAGCCGCTTATGTGAGTATCGGCAATGAATGATTATTGGAAGGACATTGAAATGCTGATTTGAAACTTAAAATCGGCAAGACAATTGACGTCAAGGGCACACATTTTTTGAGGGAACAGTTATCGCCTGATAGCAGGATCGTGAGACAACCATCGTTACATGAAAAGAAAATTGTGAAGCAGTTCACATACAGCAAGGGAAACTGTTTCATAACTTGGGTGCGAGACTTGTGGAGATATAGAAACAAGGAGGCAATCAACAAAAGTTACTCAAGGAAATGCAACCAACGGAAACTATCAGAAAGCAGTTACTTTAGAACCATTATAAATACCACCAATCGTCCATGAGGAGGGCCCCCCTGCACAAATCAAATAAACGTCACGGTTTGGCTTTTTGCTATCCAGTGATGGTTCTGGTTTTGGTTGAGCCTCAGAATGACAGGAGCGGCGAGATGGGTTTTTAACTTTTTTGGTTTGGTTCGGTTCGGTTTAATAATCCGAACCCCAAACTGAAACCCAAACCATACCGAAAATGGACAAAATTTCGGCTCATTTTGGTTCTGTTTTCGGTTTGATTTTTGACATCCCTACATCCCATGAACTCTACTAGTGTAGTGACAACATAGAAACCTTAATAGAGGCCATGCGCGCGGAAATGATGGAGCTGAAGGTGGAGCTTGCCAAGATAAAGACGACATGCGGAAGTGGGGTGATCACCGTGCAAACTAATCCACTTATGGAAATCCCCAAGCTGAAGGAGTTTAAAGGCACGACTGTGGCCAAAGGCATAGACAATATCTCATGATGCATGGAATAGTATTTTTGAGCGACAGGGATTGCCAGTGGCGCCGTTCAGGTTAGCACTGCATCAACTTACTTAAGTGATGTAGCATTGTTTTGCTGGCAATGCAGGTGCAATGATAGAAACCGCGGCGAGGCCATTTAAACTTGGTTGGGAGGGATGTGGAGGACGAAGATCGGGCTGAACTTTGTCGGTCGGAGCAAAAGGGTGAAGTCCGAGAGTATGTCAAGACTTTCTCAGATCTGCTACTACATATCTCTTCCATGAGCAAGAGGGAAGCCTCTTTCTAGTTCATGAATGGTCTCTAACTGTGTGGCATGCAGGAGCTGTAAAAAGCCATGTCCATGACTGAGTCGCTTATCGAGTTCTAAAAAATTTCGGGGAATAAGTCAGACTCTTGATTAGACCTGTCAAATAGGTAGGTTGGGTAAAAAATAGTCCGATCCAAATTGACCCATTTAACCCGTTTCGATCCATTTTTCGTGTAATACAAATCTAGTGACCCATACCCGACCCAACTCATATTGCTAAAATACTTATATATTTATCCTATTCTAAAAAAACTTGAGGTGAGAACACAGAGTGAGCAAGCGCAAGCGAGAAAGAGTCATAGAGATGGATTGAGTCTAATAAATTATGAACCCATTTAACATGTATTATTTTGAGGTTTATCATTCGAAACTCATTTATAATCCATTTACTGAATATAACTAACCAACAGTACAACTCTAGCCCATCAAATATGAGTTAAAAAACGGGTCTTAACCCATTTTGACAGGTCTGCTCTTGATCCAAGAGCAAGGGCTATGGTGAGGAAGACCGCGGCAAGCTCAAATGTAATTAAACTCGTCTATAAAAAATGTATTACTAATTATCACCTCCGCTCAAATTCGTAAGTAGAGAGAAGCCAAGAATCGTCTCTTGCTGCCCATGCATGGCAGTTCTTGCTCATCTCTTTGTGCGACGACGGACTCGTTTAATTTTACTGAAATGGGGATGACGTTTTGTGGGATTTTTCATGAGATATAGATGCAAATGTTTGACGATCTCCACTGTGGCAATGAAAAGCCTTGTCAGTTCTTGCAAAAATACAGATGCGACCTCACTTAATCACGTCATCGAATACTTCACAGGTTTAGCAACTTTGACCATTCCTACTCCTTTGCTTTGATTGGCCAGAGGAAGAAGTAGGATAATATATTAATATTTTCGCAAACGAACCCCCTTTGCGTATTTGCATGCGTCATCTGGTCCACTTAGAGGCTCAGACCATAAATTTTCTGAACTTCCAAAGCGTCTATAAACTTGAACACTGTGTCGAGAACAGAGAACTCCTGAGAAAAACTTCAACATTTCTGTACATAATTTGTTGAATCGAGAACCAGGTAGTATCGAAAAAAAGAAAATGATGAGGCGTTTTAGAGCGAGTCTGATGGATACGCTAAAAATCTATACGAACCGTTAAATATAACGGCCTCCCTGTAAGTATGGCAGATCCTACTATACTTGACAGATGGAGTTTAGTAAATATATAACATCCATTGAATAGTTTCACATCACATGATAGACAATCTATCATGTAGAGGATATAGGAAAAATTACCCAAATTAGTCTTAGACTTATTATACGGATGCCAATTAAGTTCTAAACTTTTTAATTGTGCCAATTTAGTGTTAAATTTTTTAGCGAAATTCTAATGTAATCCTTCCTGTCAATTTTTACCCGAAATCGCTGACGTGATGGTGTGGCACGTAGGACGACTAGCAATAACTGAACCGCTGCGTCAGCGATTTCTTATGAAAGTTCACAAGAAGGACTAAATTGGAATTTATCGCAAAGATATATAATTAAATTGGTAAAATTGAAAAGTTTATAACTGAATTGGCACCCTATAATAATTTAGGATTGATAGGATAATTTCCCCTGTGATAAATAATCACACAAGCAACCACTAGTAGTTTTCTTTCTTCAGTATATAGTTTAAAACCACTACCACTACTAGTGGTTTTATTCCCGGGGTGCTCGAGTGTGCTAGGGCCAACACAAGGCACCCAAAAACTTTTGCGTGATTCTTATTTATCTGACGGCTCACATATGTTAGGCTCACGTGAGCTAAACGTGCATAACATATAATGAATATAACTGTAGTATTAAGTAAAAGTGATTGTTCCTTCCAAAGGCTACAGTTGGCGAAAAAAAGTCAAAACTCCAATTTCACGTGATGTATGTGATGACGCTCTTGACGATGGCTCATAAGCCTATATGTAGTGCATGAAACTCAATGGTGTTTTCACTGCAACCCACTTAGTGATCTCTCCTTAAAACTCCTATCTTGTTACGATTCATCTCAAGGCAAAGAGGCAGAAAATGAGTTCAGACCAAGTGATGAGCAAGAACTGCCATGCATGGGCAGCAAGAGACGATTCAGGGCTTCTCTCTCCTTATGAATTTGAACGCAGGTAAATTTTCTGGGTTGTAAATAACACGTTTTTTTGTTCAACTCGTGTGTCGAGCTGATTGATGACCGTGTGATGCATATCGACTGAACCGATATCTCTTCCGACTCCATTTTCAAATGACTGAATGGGCAACTTATCCTCCAACAGAGTGGTCGGAAGCAACGACGTGTCAGTGAAAATTACTCATTGTGGCGTTTGCTATGCGGACGTGGCTTATACCCGCAACAAGCGAAAGAACTCTGTTTACCCTTTGGTTCCCGGGTATGTACTCATTTGTGTAATTTAGTAATATTCGTTGCAAGGGAAAGGGTCATCGAAATATGTTTTCGTCATTTTTCATTTACATTCGATCAGTGTAATCACCAAAACTTAGCCAGTAATCAGAACCCATAATGTTATCACAAATGAATGATCGCACATACTCAAGATTTCACAACTTCTCTAGAAAATCTCGTTCAAACTGAGAAAGAAAATGAACCCTTCAATCTTTTTACTTTCTAGTTTCTCCTACATATATATGTAGGTACATATTTGGTGTGATGGTATATTGGATTTACATATGTATAGGCATGAGATTGTGGGGATTGTGCAAGAAGTGGGTGACAACGTTAGCAGTTTCAAGGTTGGAGACCATGCGGGTGTCGGAACCTATCTTGACTCATGTAGACATTGTGAGTACTGTGATGATGGACAAGAAGTTTATTGCTCAAAGGGAATTACAGTGACAATTAACGGCACTTATGAGGATGGTACCCGCACACGGGGAGGATATTCGAGCTTCATAGTTGTCAACGAGAGGTAATCTTTTAAATACTCTTCGTGGAAGTTTTTAATATGATTCACGTCGTCCTTATACAATCATGTTAGTTTTTGCTAAATATGTTAATAACTGTCGAATCAACAGGTATTGCTACAAGTTACCTGAAAAGTATCCATTAGCTCTGGCAGCACCTTTACTGTGTGCTGGAATCACAGTCTACAGTCCGATGATCAAACACAAAATGAATCAACCCGGGAAATCAGTAGGCGTGATTGGACTTGGTGGCCTCGGTCATATGGCTGTGAAGCTCGCTAAGGCTTTCGGACTGAATGTCACCGTTTTCAGCACAAGTATGTCCAAGAAAAATGACGCCCTCAACTTGTTAAAAGCAGATAAATTTGTGCTCTCATCTGACAAGGAACAAATGGCTGTGAGAATCCTACGACCCACTTGACATCGTCAGGTTTCGTAGAGTTGGTTTGGCAATCCTAAGACTCTTTCTGTTTTCTAGGCTATGGCTAAATCACTGGACTTTATCATTGACGCGGCATCCGGAGACCATCCACTTGATCTGTACATGTCATTACTTAAGACAGGAGGAGTTTTAGCTTTGGTAGGCGTTCCGTGCGAGGAAACAAAACTCAATCCACTTAGCCTTCTCATGGGTAAGCATTCTCTCCACAAGAACTATCAAATTAATCTTACTATCTCAGTTTAAAACCCACTTTGTAACATCTTTAATTGCATTTTTGGTTTAGGTATGAGGAGCATTTCTGGAAGTGTAGTAGGTGGTGTAAAGCGAACGCAAGAGATGATCGATTTTTGTGCTGAGCATGAAATTTATCCAGAGATCGAAGTAATTCCAATCCAATATGCAAACGAAGCTCTTGAGAGGCTCCAAAAGAGTGATGTGAAGTACCGTTTCGTGATAGACATCGAGAACTCCTTAAAGTAACTCATCTTGTCAAGGAATACCATGCTCGAGATTAACTTTATAATCTAAAGGAACTCCATCTCTATCTCTATGGTTTGAGTGTATGAATAACTAGGAAGTAATCCTTCTCCATTACAAGTGTGTTTCATTTTCGTGACAATAAAAGGTGACTGATTGATGAATATTTTTGTTTTGAGTGGTATTCTGAGTAAAACTCGTTGTATAACAAGAAGCCAATGAACCTCTGTATGGAATGGACGATGAAATATTCCTCATTTGCTTCAACACATGCACTCTTTGAAATAGCTTGAAAATGCTCGGTGCAATTTCACTCCCTCCTTCGCACTAGGATTTGTTACAGGAAACCGTGTCGTTTCTTCCTCATATTCACTCATTGTCTCGCTTGCAAGCTTGTGGCTAATGTCAATGGTGAGTTTTCCGATTTCCTTTAAAGTCGTGATCTACCTTCTCAACGATCGCCCTTGTTACTTTTGCTTCCCTCCTGTCAAATAAAAAAGTGAAAATGACTTTAATGGTTCTTGAATTTTGGCTCAATGTGCAATGTGGTCTCTAAACTTTTATTTATTCAGTGTGGTCCCTGAACTTTAACTTAATATACAGTGCAGTCCCTGAACTTTTAATTTATCCAATATGGTCTCTGTACTTTGGTGCATGCTCAATTTAATTCCTAGACTATATGAAAATGTTCAATATCATCTCTGATCTTAAATTAATAAAAGGACAACATTAAGTATTTTCATATAGTCTAGGGACTATATTGTGTTGAGGTTGATGTCTTGTATTCTGTTATCCAAGAGATTATGAGGCGGTTCCGAAAGGCCCCTTGAAGACTGGACAGCACAGGGGTCCCGCTCAGGAGCCATATTGAACATTGGGTAAAGTTCAGGAACCATATTGAACATTAGACCAAAGTTTATGGACCATTTGTGTCATTATCCCAATAAGAAATGAAGTTGAGTACGAACGTGAGAACCATACTTAATGACAACTCACCAGCAAAAAGAAATTTAGAAAGTAATTAACCAATTTCCCGATGACAAAAACAGGAATGAATTAGAGAAGAACATTACTGCAACTGGAAGTAGCGAATAACTACATGCAATACACACATATCATTAGTAGTTCTGTCAAGCAAAAAAAAAAACCAAAGATAAAAATAAAGGATAAGTACACCACAACTACTAAAACTTGTAGCAAAAGTGCAATTAAGTTTTAAAACTTTTAGAAAAGTTTTAGAACTTATCAAATTTGTGCAATCAAGAATCTCCATTAACTCAGTCAAATTTGCCTAACAGAAAATACTAACTTGGCTTTTTTATCATTTTCTTAAGACCCATATTTCTGAGGCGGGGCCTACCAAGTACCACATTAGTAGAGGTGGCAAAATGGATCTAGAACCCATATTTTAACTCATATGTAACGGTGTGGATTAGTCATGGCCACGGTTCAGGAACCGCCGGTTCCAGTTCGTGGCCACGTATGAACCGAAACCGGCGGTTCCGGGCCGGTTCCGGTTCGTAATTTAAAAATTAATAAAATAAATTATAAAAAAAAAATTACAGGCCTGGTCTCCGTCGGTCGTCGCTCGGGCTTCGCGGCCTTGGCCACGATGGCGGAGGCGGGGTTCAATGCGGCGAGGAGATGAAGCGGGAGACGGGGGCGGCGGCGAGGGGGAGAAGGAGGGGGGCCGGGAGGGACGGGGACGGGGAGGAGGAGTGGGGGTCCTCCTCCTTGGGTCGAGAGGAGGGAGGAGGAGGGGCATCGGCGTCGGCGTCGGCAGGCTGCGGCCATGGGCGCGGCGGCGGGGGGGGCGTCTGATCGGGAGACGGGGGTGGGCGGACCCGGCGGAGGAGAAAAGGGGAGGAGGCGCAAGGTAGCGAGGGGGAAGGAGGAGGGGGCGTTGGCGTCGGCGAGCTGCGGCCATGGGCGGAGGCGACGGCGGCGGCGGCCGGCGGCGGGGGTCGAGATCACAGGGAAGACGGGGCGGGGCGGAGCCTCGGAGGAGAAGGAGAAGAAGGAGAAGGAGAAGGAGAAGGAGAAGAAGAAGATGCAGAGCACGTGAGAGAGAGAAGAGAGAGAGAGAGAGAGAGAGAGAGAGAGAGAGAGAGAGAGAGAGAGAGAGAGAGATATCAATGCAGGCTGCAGGCAAAGTTTTACTTTTTTTTTTTTTTTTTTGGAACCGGCCCTGAAACCGGCGGTTCCGGGCCGGTTCCAAAATTATTGGAACCGGAACCGGGCCCGTAGGCCACGGGCCGATTCCGGTTCCGAACCGCAGGACCGGTCAACGGGTCGGTTCCGGGCCAAAACCGGCCCGTGGCCATGACTAGTGTGGATCATAAATGGGTCGCCTTAAGTTTTAAAAACAAGCTTAAGTGGGTTATAAATGAGTTACATAACAACTTAATGGGTCTTAAATGGGCTTTAAATGGGTTTCCTAACAAGCTTAGGTGAATCATAAACATGTCATTTTTAATTTTTTTAATTTTCTGATTTTTTTAATTTTTTTAAATTTTCTGCTTTTTTTAAAATTTTAATTTTCTTTTCTTTTTCTTTCTTCTTTTTTTTCTATGAAATCCGGTGAGGGTCGTCGGCCGACCCCGCCGACACTTGGATGAAGCTAAGTTTCAATCTTCTCTTATAAATTGCATTTAAATATATATTTAGTTAGTCTCATAATATGTATGTCATGAATTGCACACCGTCGTTTAGTGAGTCACATGCTTTAAGGTTAATGTTTTAATATTCGCATCATGTTAATAGATTTACTTAATAATTGCATTGTTCATGTCATATATAGTTTATGAATTATAAATAAGAAAAGAAAAACTAAAAAGAATTAATTGGCATTGCATGTAGGTTTTAATTTACAATCATCATCATCTTAAAGTAAAAAGAAAAGATTTACCAAAAAAATAAAAAGAAAAGATTAAAAGAGATTAGATTAATATGCATATTAGGTCCATGACTAATGAATAGTCCCTGCATTGATAGTCCCGCTTAGTTTGCTCCCCAGTTTACATATTGCAGAATCCTTGTTGCATTGGATTGCGTTGGGTGATAGTGAAGCTTTGCTTTTGCTTGCTTAGTGCATCCAGGTTTCTTTATAAGCTTCTCCACGCGTCGATTACACACTGATGTTGGTACTCGGCTGCAACAAAAGCCACAAACTAAAATTATTAAAATTTTAATCATTAATCATATATATTTAAATATAAAACCAGATACACTTCTATCAATTAAAAATACATAATTGATAGTGGAACAGCAGTGAGGACTAGGGTCGTAAGGTGTCACAGCTGCGGCCACGGCCCCCGATCTGGCGGCCGCGTAGTGACCCTGCCCCAATCTAATCGTGACCGACGCGACGAACCTCGCCCCGGCCGGGACCATATCAAGGGTCATGTTCTTTCAATGTAGGATAAGCATGGAACTTAAAGGAAATCAAATTTTCATAGAGCATCCAAACTTAAACGCTCTAAACAAGATAATGTCTCCTTCGCTTCTCATCTTTCAAGTTTTTGTGTTTTTTTCTTTTTCTTCTTTCCAACGCATGTATCTTGTTTATAGTACATTCAATTGATGACATGGCACATATCGTATAAGCTACCATATGATTTGGTATTATTACTCTTGATAAAGTTCTATTTAGGATCTGTAGCCTTTCTCGCCCTCAATTCGCGACATTGACTACTGATCAGAGAAATATTAATTTTGTAGACACTAAGGAAATTTAGAAAATGTGGGGTCTATGTTGTAAACTATGTATTATCCTATTACATATTCCTTTCCTCCTTTGCTTGGGGAAAAAGCGAAAAAAGTCAAAACTGGTAGACAGGTGAAGTTGGCGATGACGCTAAGGAGGACGGCCGCATGGACTATATATTGCATCGGCTCGCGGAGGTTTTTTCATTGCCTCCCATTAGGAATCCTCGAATACCTACGATATATACTCATTAGAAGAGCTCTCGCACATCACCATTCAGAAGAAAGGGGGTGAGAAATGGCATCAGACGAAGTGACGATGATGATGAGCAAGAACTGCCGTGGATGGGCTGCAAGAGACGACTCAGGACTGCTCGCTCCTTATGAATTCGAACGCAGGTAGATTTGTGCTTTCGTGATGTGTTTTATCGAAGTCGTTGCTTGAAACTCATCCATCAGGAAGCAACGAGCCTATGTTTCGTGCGCTGTGAATGGTTATGTCGGCAATATTGTCAGTAGAACCAGTCTCCCGAAATTTGTAGTTTGAGATGATTACGATCACGTTTGCTATGGAAAGTCTTAAAAGGTATCCACAACTTTTGGCTTTCTAACCACACATGGTTTCATAGTTTCTTGGGTGGGTACATGAAGTTTGTGAATATTTTTGAAAGTTTAAAAAATTTTGAGGAATCATTTTGAAATATCCCAAGGATATAGTCCTTTTTTAGGCATTGACCAATATTTCTTCCGACATTTATAGGGGAATCCACGCATGAATCTGTTAATTGATAATAGCCGAAGATGATGCTCTCTCCATTTCCAAATGTCTGAACTAAGAAATTATTCTTGTACAGATTGGTTGGAGGCAATGACGTTTCAGTGAAAATCACTCATTGCGGTGTTTGCTACGCTGATGTAGCTTACACTCGCAACAAGAGAAAGAATACCGTGTATCCTGTGGTTCCGGGGTACGTTTGTTCTTCTCCATTTCATTTACTAGCGTGCGGTTCGTTAGAGTTTGCAAAAACGTTAGCCATGTAAACAACACTTCGAGTTTCACTAATATCCTCTAAATTAAGCTTGTATATTTATGAATAGGCATGAGATCGTGGGGATTGTACAAGAAGTGGGTGATAAGGTTAGTGAGTTCAAGATCGGAGACCATGTGGGTGTTGGACCCTTCGTGGACTCATGCAGAGATTGTGAGTACTGTGATGTTCGCCATGAAGAGCATTGTTCCAAAGCAACTCTAACAATCAATGGCACTTGTAAGGATGGTACCATCAGCAAGGGGGGATATTCTAGTTTCATAGTTGTCCATGAGAGGTAACATTTCTATGTGTACTTGTTGCCCTATTGGAACAATTCACAATGGTGTAACTATGGGAAAGATAATGTCTGATTAGCGGGCGGTGTTCATGTGCAGAAACTAGGATGCTTATTACGTAGGACTATTCTTATCAACCCAACACTGCTTGTGGAGATAATGTTTTGCATCGTCAGTGTACCAAATAATTAGTCTCGGATATCATTATCATAGAATATTCTCCACAATTTGCCGTGATTTGTCCCTGACAGCTTTGTCGTGACTTATTTGGCTTTCTATGAGATCACATAAGCAAACATCACTCCGCGAAGTAGAGGGATTTACAGTGACGACATTTCAAAGGGATTTACAGTGGCAATACACTAGCTTTTAAGGGTTTTCCATCTTTTAACTTGTCAATATCTTCGCCACTAAAATTCATTTCCATCCGATCCATGTGATTTTATGATGGACTTATATATTAAATGCCTAATTTACAGCAAAAAAAACGCCTATTTTACAGGTATTGCTACAAGATACCTGACGAGTATCCTCTAGCGCTAGCAGCACCTTTGCTATGTGCGGGAATAACAGTATACAATCCGATGATCCACCACAAGATGAATCAGCCTGGTAAATCGCTAGGAGTGGTTGGACTTGGTGGGCTCGGTCATATGGCTGTGAAGTTTGGTAAAGCTTTTGGACTAAATGTCACTGTATTCAGCACAAGCATTTCCAAGAAAGATGATGCCTTGAATATGCTAAAAGCAGACAAGTTCGTGCTTTCGTCGGACAAAGAACAAATGGCTGTAAGAATTCCATATCGTCGTCATTTGAAATCTAGGGGTTTCTCAAGTTCGGTGTCTTAAAAGTAGATTTGGATCTCTTTTCGCAGGCACTGTCTCATTCTCTGGACTTCATAGTTGACGCAGCATCAGGAGGTCACTCATTTGATCTATACATGTCATTACTTAAACCAGAAGGAGTCTTAGCTTTGGTGGGCTTTCCAAGTGAGAAAATAGAACTCAGCCCACTCAGCCTTCTCATGGGTAAGCATTCCTCACCTGGTGTAAATTAGAAACCATGACTTGCATTGCATCATATTTCATAAATTGCGTATCTGATTCAGGTACAAGAAGTATCTCTGGAAGTGCAGTGGGCGGCACGAAACGAACAGAGGAGATGATCGAGTTTTGCACTAAACATGAGATATATCCGGAGATTGAAGTGATTCCTATCCAATATGCAAACGAAGCACTTGATAGACTCCAGAAGAGCGACGTGAAGTACCGCTTTGTCATAGACATCGAGAACTCCTTGGAGTGACTTGGCCTGTCAAGTGACTCTCTGAAGAAATCGTAATGCATTTATCTGTTTGAGACTGAATTCTCTTGCTGTTTTCAGTGGCAAAAAAACGTGTGAGGCAATAAAAGCAGGGACTACTCTTTCCTGAAATCAAATGTATTCATCTTGTTTTCAATAAAAAGACCTAAATGATTGTGATTTCTACTTTAAGTGAACTCATAGTACATTGACATAGTTAGACACAACACGGTGTCAAAGATGAAATCTTTGTTTATTTCATCATCAGTGTTCGGCGCGATAATCTGCAAATTCATCGTCAGCAGTGTCGATGGAAGGAGAGAGTCAGTAGTGCTTACGAACGACTAGCCCCCTCTCCAAATAATAAATTATTCTTATGCAATATTTATTAGACCAATGACACAGTCAACTTTTGCCCCCTTGACTAGCATATATCACATCAATGATGTTTATTATTAGTATAAGTTGTCCGGTCCCTCTATAGCTTCTACAATTTACACAAGATTGATATAATATTCAGCAGAATTACTACATTAGACCACAACTAACATGACCCGATATATTAGATAAAAGTTTAGTTATTACATCTATCTAATCCATATATTTGAATGACTAATCACTTCACATCCAGATGAATGTAGAGTGTGTTTTCCCTTCATCCCTTATTCGAGAAACTTATTCCAACAAGTCCTTAGATTTGTGAATTACAGATATGCCTTGTAAATTTCCACATACCAGCTCCTGATTGGTGAGTTTACTCCCAAACATGTGACCCTTAGCTAACCCAACCCAACCTAACAAATTGAAATCCTCTCTCTCTCTCTCTCTCTCTCTCTCTCTCTCTCTCTCTCTCTCTCTCTCTCTCTCTCTCCCCTGCTAAATCTAAATCAAAATTTCCAATGTTAAGGTAATGAATAAACAATAATCAAGTCTCGGGCTGGAGGAAAGCGTAGCTTATGTTTAACTAAACTTAAACGTGAGTGATGTTCATAACTCGTAATCCACTGATCAAAGGTGTGATTGGAGGAAATTTCCTCTAACTACAAATGAAGGAAAACATGACCTTGAATGTAAATTTTATTACCGTAAGATAGTTTTTGCAGATGAATCTTCTATTCCTTGATAGCAAATCAATGAAACTTTAATATTAACATTCATGGAATAACATTTATAAAACGGTGCCTCTTGTCAAAATCGTCAATCATATTGAAAAACATTTAGGACTTGATTACATGAATAAAAAGATTTAGAATTCAATTGCATTCCGTCCATGACATTTGAAATTCCTAGCATACCTTTTGCTGAGTTTCTTTTGCACAATATCATCGTTATTTATTGTCATTGAGCCTTTGTGCTAATTAGGTGCGTTTGTTTTGCAGAAAATAAATGATTTGAAAAATATTTTCTAAAAACGATCGTTTACATCATTTACAAAAATTAATGAACAAAAATATTTTCATCGTGCACGAAAATATTTAGAAATAAAATTGTTATTGTTGCGAAAGCAAGTGATCGAACAATATAATAGACAAAACAAGGAAATAAATCGGACACCAGATTTACGTGGTTCGGTCGATGTGACTTACATCCACGGGGAGAACAATAAACAATTCCACTATAGATTAACCGATTCAATAAAGATTACAACCACACTCGAGTCACTCAAGCACTCTCAGTTTTTCCTAGCTCCCAATTATACCCAATTACTTACTTGGTGTTTAGCCCAAATAATTCCTCACGAGAATAATCTTTTAATCTCACAAAAACTTAATAAATTTTACCACAAGATTTTTTTTTTTTTTTTGGTAACCAGAGGAACCCCGCACGGCCGAGAGCAAGGTAAACGGGCGGGAAATAATTCCTCACAATCTCTTAATCTCACGAAAAACTTAACAAATTTTACCACAATATTTAACCGGATACAAATGCTAATTTCACGAACAGTTAACTTTCACTGCACATGAAAGACCCGAAGACCCTCGTTTGCTATATCATCAACAACGGCGCTTCCTTCTTTTAAGCACTAACTGCCATATGTACATGCAAGCAAGGCACGCCCAAGAGAAACCCTCGAATAGGCAAGTGGATATGAGCCCTTCCTTTACTATTTTTCGTTCTTGCGCCCAATCCGATTTGTAATCTGTTTTCCTCGATTTCAAACATCCACAAATAAAAAAAAACTTCAACTTTCGTGGACTTTTCATTAATCAATCTTGGATTGGGTTTCGTTTAATGGGCTTAAACTTGAGACATATTTTAATAATTATCGATAATGAAAATATTTTTCATTAATTAATGATTTCAAGAGATATAATCGATTGTTTTTAGTAAAAAAGTTTTTCAAATTTTTAATTTTTCGTAAAGCAAACGGAGGCTTAAAATTGCATCGATTAGATCGTTTCATGTAACGTGAACAAGTGATATGAGGTTACAATTTTATAATTTGGATTAGTCAAACCTAGCTTGTACAACGATGGTTGTGTGGACTTTTCTTGTCTATTTTGTGTATGTTTCTCTCTGGGAGGGAAGGATAAAACGTATAGGGTGACGTCCAGGGTGACGCTTGTACAAACGATGGTTGTGTGGACTTTTCTTGTCTACTTTGTGTATGTTTCTCTCTGTAAGGATAAAACGTCTAGGGTGACGCTTAAGTGGACGTCACCCTATACGTTTTATCCCAACCGGGAGTCGAACAATAAAGAATACAAAAGTAATACACATGCAGTAGGTGATGCATTTATGAGTATAGTGCAAGAAACCGGGATGTATATATTTCCCGGAACGCAATAGATTGTTAAACATCTCTGCTATTAACTCTTCAAAGGGAAAGACCGGAGAAAATGAGTTCAGGCGAAGCGACGGGAAAGAACTGCCACGGATGGGCGGCGAGAGACGACTCCGGATTTCTCTCTCCTTACGAGTTCGATCGCAGGTAAACTAGCCAATCGCGTCTTAAGTCATCGATCTCGTTGCGTAAATGTGTAGTCTCGACCCATAAGTTATTTTTCCATTTCCAATGAATAAAGTTTATTGCATTATTCTCGTGACAGAGCGGTTGGAAGCGAGGATGTCTCGGTGAAAATTACTCATTGTGGCATTTGCTATGCGGATGTAGCGTACACTCGCAACAAATTAAAGCACTCGGGATATCCCTTGGTCCCAGGGTATGTACCTTTGCTGCTACTGTAATTGCAGTATGGTCTATTTCTTCAAATATTTTGTCTTTCTTTAGGGTTATTCTTAGTTACACTGCCGGCCAAGAAAAATTTCTCCGCATGCGCCGTTCATTGCCTGTAACTACCACTACGTCACTAACTTAATACTGCAACGCTGATGCTCATACGAGATATATGTTCAGGCATGAGATCGTGGGGATCGTAACGGAAGTGGGTGGTAACGTTGGCAAGTTCAAGATCGGAGACCATGTGGGTGTCGGAACTTATGTCGACTCATGCAGAGATTGCGAGAACTGTCATGGTGGACTTGAAATACATTGTTCGAAAGGTGTTGTTTCTACAATCGGTGGCACTTATGAAGATGGCAGCACTTGCAAGGGAGGATACTCCCAGTTCATAGTTGTTCACGAGAGGTGTGTAACTACTAACCTCTGTTTAATGATCCACCCGATTATTGTCAGTCACATCACTTAATATTCATAAGATTACTCAGATCTCATTCGACGACAATTACACAACAACTTATGGTGCCGATTTACCGATTTGCTAGTATCCTCGATCTTTTGTCTTCATATCTTCGCTGCCAATGCCAAATCCATTCACATTGTGCACTTTCTGCACTTCATAACAATATATTGAATCTGTAGGTATTGCTACAAGATACCTGACAAGTATCCATTAGCTCAAGCAGCACCGCTATTGTGTGCTGGAATCACAGTCTACACTCCGATGATCCGCCACAACATGAATCAGCCTGGAAAATCATTAGGAGTGATTGGACTTGGTGGGCTCGGTCACATGGCTGTGAAGTTCGCCAAGGCTTTTGGATTGAACGTCACTGTTTTCAGCACAAGCATTTCCAAGAAAGACGATGCCTTGAATCTGTTGAAAGCAGACAAGTTCGTGCTCTCGTCCGACACAGAACAAATGAGCGTAAGAGTCCTGTGATAAGAACCCACATGAAATCTTGAGGTTTCTCAAATGGCGGGTGTCGTAAGCAGATCTAATTCTGCGGTTTCTTTTACAGGCTCTGTCGAAATCTCTAGACTTCATAATCGACACAGCATCAGGAGAGCACCCATTGGATCTGTACATGTCATCGCTCAAGACAGGAGGAGTTTTGGCTTTGGTGGGCTTTCCAGGCGAGGAATTGAAACTTAGTCCACTGAGTCTTCTCATGGGTAAATATTCTCTCGACAGATCTTAGAATTCATTTCCTCTTCTGGTAGATTAGGACCAATACCAATAACTTTCTTTGCGTTCTCAAATTACATGTATCTTGTTCAGGAATGAGGAGTATTTCCGGAAGCGCAGTCGGCGGTACAAAGCGAACACAGGAGATGCTCGAGTTTTGCGCCGAACATGAGATACATCCAGAGATTGAAGTAATTCCTATTCAGTATGCGAATGAAGCTCTTGAGAGGCTTCAAAAGAATGACGTGAAGTACCGTTTTGTGATAGACATAAAGAACTCCTTAGAGTGAATCCACTGACGAAGGAACTCCTAGAAGATATTGCGTGTTTATTCTATAAGAACTTCAACTTTATGTTAGTGTCAACGACTCTCTTTATGGAATACAATAAATTAACGCAACAATAAGAGGAAGGTATGTTCTTCCTCCTTTTGAAGTGATCTCTCTCTGTTTGTGAATTTGGGAATGGCAACCTGTGTGTGCTGTGAAATAAAGGCGAAAGTTAACGGATTTTGTAATTTAAATAGGTTTGCACTTTTTCCACTTCCACTATGACTAAAACACTCCCTATCACAATATTTTGAAAATATCAACATTTATGGGTCCCACCTTTTTCTATGTTCTCTCTCTTTCTAAAACACCCCTCTCATTCCAATAATTGACAAGTTTTTGACACCCCAACATCCGTCACCGGCACAAATAAAAACGTCTGTCACCAACGCTAGCAACTCACAGAGTTGAAGCCCAAATTTGCAGAAACCTTCCTCTCACCCGGCTAGTCCCTTTCCACCTACATTTCTTTTACTCAAAGATTATAACTGTAAGTAAACAAATCATGTTATATCTCTTTACTCTTCACCCCCATTTTGTCCCTCTCGCTCTTTGTGTTATTCGTTTTCCATTTCGCATCAAACTCTTCGATTAATCAAGCACGAAGACAAGAAAAACCCCCATTAAAGATTCAAATCCAAGAGCTGAAGCCCCCACCCAAATTCACATCAAGCTCATCAGCAATGTTTGCTTCTCGGTCTTCATCTTCTTGGTCCTGATCGTCACCGTCATCGTCAATTGGCCATCACCTACCAGTCTCTAGATCCATGGCTCAAATCCGCCCTTGCTCTCACTAAGTTGTTTACTCAAACCGAAAATGCCACCTTCAAGAACAATAATCCCATCCTCAAAACCAACAAGGATTTGCCCCTCCTCACCCCTGCAGTCTCTCCTACTTCCAAGCCGATCTCAGTCACCGAGCCGCCATCGCCGGTGATGGAGAGGGTTAAAGAGGTGATTGTGAACTCGATCCTCAAGTCTGAGCCCTTATTCGATAAAGTGGTCCTCAAAGTTCAAGCCCGTCAATTGTTTTGATCCCCGTGTTCTGATCGCCATTAAGAAGTTAAATGCGAGAGCCTTTAGGTCTATTGTGTTACTGGGTATCAATCTCCGATTAAAGATTCAAAAGTTGATGAGTGTGTGGCCTAGACAAGGTAACAAAGAAGACCAAAAAGGGAGTCTTTTTTCTTTTTTTGATAGATACTAACCATGACTAGAATTAAGAGGGAACGAAGAAGTAAAAAAGGAGGAAAATGGGACCCATGAAAAAAGACAAAAAAGAAAACGAACGGGACATCACAACCAAACAAAAAATTATGCTTAGAAAAAGTGGGAGTTACAAAGGTTAATATTATCAAAACACCGTGATAGGAGGTGTTTTAGAGAGTGGGAAAAGCGTCCTCGTTATTTTATTTTATTTCTTTTTCTCTAACCGCTTTCTGATCGCTCGCGCATTCATTTGTACCGCAATATATATGCTGTCCACTTCTTGGTCAACTGGTCAAACTCGGATAAAAGAAGAAATCAATCTTGATGACCGAATCACCTTCAATTATCAAAAACCACCGCACCAAAAATCCATAATATGGATTATGGGCGCATCGGATTTTGATTATCAAAATCCTTTAAACAAGTCAGGTTTTGTACACGACTTAAATTCGAGATGTAATTTATCAGTTTTTGAGTGTAATTTAGTGTTGGGAAACACTCGAGCGATTGAGTGGTCATAACTATGTAATTCTCCGGACTCTTACTGGAATTTTTTGCGGATGACTCTCCTGTGAAATAGGTATAGATACTTGGACTGAATCACGTAAATCTCTGATGTTCTTGATTGTTCATTGTCGATTTTTCTGTTAATTTTTTCTTCTCGGATTATATTTAAACGGTCGGGCTTTTTCCACCCCCACTGTAGCTAAAACACTCCCTATCACAGTGTTTTGACAATATTAAACTTTATAGGTCACACTTTTTCTAAGCATCTTTTTTTGTTTGGTTGTGGTGTCCGGTTCGTTTTTTTCTTTGTCTTTTCTCATGGGTCACATTCTCCTCCTTTTTTACTTCTTCGTTGCCTCTTAATTCTAATCATGGTTTGTATCTACAAATAAAAAAAGAGACTCCCTTTTGGTCTACCTTGGCCGTGTTTGGTTCAACTTTCCCAAAGGGCTTTGAGCCCCTAAAGCCCTTTGGGGAAAATATGAGGTGTTTGGCAAGTATTTTTAGGACCCTATTGGTCACATGCTAGCATTGGGAATGCTATTGTGGGGGGTTTAATGACTTTTTTTTCTTTCCAATATTGTCCTCACTGATAATTGTGCATTCCACTTTTGCCTTTAAAAAATACTATTCATCTTCTTTCTCAAGCTTGCTAGTTTGTCATTGAGGTCCAGATCCAGGTCGCCTGTCGTCGAGGTTGAGGGTCGCGCATGCCATCGAGCAGCTGTCTTTGTTGGAGCCGATGTCTTGACCAAAGCTGCTATGGTTCGAGGTCAAGATCGAGGGTCAAGCGACCCAGATCTGGCCGATGCGAGGGCGACCCAGATCTGGCCAATTGCGGGCATGCAACCTCGCGTCGCGCATCCTCGGCGTCAAGCATCCTCGGCGACCATCGCCTGGGTTGCGGACGGTCGAAGAGCCTGGATGGTCTGCGAGATGGTCGCCGTTGAAGCTCCGATGTTGCAAACCCCCAAATCAGAAAACCCTAGAATCGACGTTGCAAACTGCCAGTGAAGCCTCTTCACCTTGCCGAGGTCACGCGCGACCCCAGGGGTCGCCTCGTCTAGGTTCTCTCAACGTTGGCCAACGGTCACCTCCGGTCGCCATTGATGCTCGCCTGTGGTCGACGCTGGCGAAGCTGGCTCAATCTTTGCCTCTACCAAAGCTCGCCCAGATCTGTTTTCTTTTTCTTTTTCTTTTCACTTCAAAGTTGCTTTACAAAATATACACCAAAATGAGTTATCCAAACACTGTTGCTTTCACCAAGTGCCCCTTCATTCAAAGATACCTGGGGAAATGCAAAGCCATTTCCTCAAAGTTGAACCAAACAGGGCCTTTATCACTTCGTCTAGGCCATGCACTCATCAACTTTTGAATCTTCAACCGGAGATTGATACCCAACAACACAACAGACCCGAAGGCTCTCACATTTAACTTCTTAACGACGATTAGAACACGGGGATAACAGCAATTGACGGCTCGAACTTTGAGGGCCGTCTTATCACATAAGGGCTTAGACTTTAGGATCAAGTTCGCAATCACCTCTTCAGCCCTCAATCACAGGCGATGGCGGCTCGGTGATCGAGATCGGTGTGGAAGTAGAAGAGACCGCGAGGGTGAGGAGGGGAAAATCCTCGTCGATTTTGAGGATGGGATTATCGTTCTTGGAGGTGGCATTTTCAGTTTGCATAAACAACTTATTGAGAGCAAGGGCGGATTTGAGCCATAGATCTGGAGGCTGGTAGGTGATGGCCAATTGACAATGACTGTGACAATCAGAATGAAGACGGAGAAGCAGACATTGTTGATGAGCTTGATATGAATTTGGGTGAGGGCTTCATCTCTTGGATTTGAATCCCTAATGGGGGTTTTTCTTGTCTTCTTGATCAATCAATCGAAGAGTTTGATGCAAAATGAAAAACGAATAACACAGAGAGCGAGAGGGACTAAATGGGGGTGAAGAGTAAAGAGATATAACATGATTTGTTTACTTACAGATATAAGCTTTGAGTAAAAGAAATGTAGGTGGAAGAGGACTAGCTGGGTGAGAAGGAGGTTTATGCAAATTTGGGCTTCAACTCCGTGAGTTGCTGGTGTTGGTGACCGATGTTTTTATTTGTGCTGGTGACGGATGTTGGGGTGTCAAAAACTTGTCAATTATTGACATGAGAGAGGTGTTTTAGAAAAAGAGAGAAACAACTGAGAAGAAGTAAAGTGGCATAGCAAAAAGAGAGAGAGAAGAAAAACAGCTTAAAAAAGGTGGGACCCATAAATGTTGATATTGTCAAAATATTGTGATAAGGAGTGTTTGAGTCATAGTGGGCGTGGAAAAAGCGCGAACCTAAAATAAAAGCAAGTTTGTATTTTTTGGGTTTCCTTTTCTGGTAGCCGATAAACAGTAGGTCCATACCTTTTCCATAGAGCCACATAGTAAAGTGAAGAAGCCGCAGCCACATGAAGGGAAAGAAAAAACTCACGTACGTTCTTGCGCTAGTATATGTTGGACCACCAAACGTTTTTGGTGACTAAAAATGACCCCATCGGTATCTACTTGATTAGCCGGCTTTGGTAGGAAAGTTGGCAAAATGGCAAATCCTAATTTTAGAATGTGATATACAAACTACACCACAAAAGTCAGTCAAAGGCCGTGCTATTGCAGACATGCTGGCCGAAGCTGCTATAGAGGCATGTGATGATGATAATTCTCCAGATGATTGCATTTTATCGGTGGAGGAAGATACATGGACCATGTTCTTTGATGGTGCCGTAACTTTATCTTGTTCTGGCATCGGGGCAGTCATATGATAGTTTTTGCGGATGAATCTTCTATTCCTTGATAGTAAATCAATGAAACTTTAGTATTAATATTTGTAAAATAACATTTGTAAAATGGTGCCTCTTGTCGAAATCGTCAATCAATTCACTTTAGGATGATATTGAAAAACATTTAGGACTTCATTATAGAAATTAAAAGATTTAGAATTCAATTGTATTCCGTCCACGACATTTACAATTTCGAGCATACCTTTTCCTTACTTTCTTTGCACAAATCATTGTCATTTATTTTCACTGAACCTTTGTGCTGATCAAAATTGTGCTGATTAAAAAGGTGTCGTGCGAAAGCGTGTGGAATTTAAGGGCGGTTGTAAAATGTCCAAAAGAAGATGAAATATGACATTAAACACCCGACGTTAGAGCATGTTTATTTCGCGAAAATAAATAATTCGAAAAATATTTTCCTAGAAGTAATCAATTATATCATTTACAAAAATGAATGAACGAAAATATATTCATCGTTCACGAAAATATTTAGATAAATTATTATCGATAATGAAAATATTTTTAATTATCTAATTATTTTAAGCGATTATTTTTAGGAAAATATTTTTT